ATTGTTAGCAGATTATAATGATCCATCCAGCGTCACTGAAGGAACAGATGACACATTTCTGTTTCTCTTTGTTGCAAGTTGAAAGCCATTTATTGCTCTTCGCAGTTCGCATTCACATCTAGCGTATGTTCAGAAACGGGGATATGCAATACGTTTTTTATGTTGACAATATTTCCTACGAATATACTTCATTAGCAGAAGGCATTTTTAACACGGATCATCTTTTCCTCTGACTCTTTTCGCCGCAGTCCAGTTACTTGGTCACATATTGTGCATTTTTGGGCCTTGCAGATATTATAGCAGTCTGACCTTGCTTTCCTGTTTTGGTGAGCAGCTCTGACAACAAATCCCCCTGGCCTGCAGCCGGTGACTGCTTCTTCTCAAAGATGTGAACCAGTCCTCAAAAATAAGTTTAATTATACATTCCTGTGTATACATATTGTTTATTGTTATAGCATTGAGTATTGATCTCTTATTTATTCTTTTTTATTATTATCACATGTAAATTACACAATTAATCCCAAATTTAAAATAATTATTATACCTCACAGACACTTAAACAGAGTGAGAAGAGGTTTTCTCTATAATGACTGCAGAATGAAATTAAAATGTGTTTTGAATCAAACAACTCAATGTTAAATTGACTCTTGTTCTCCAGGGCAGCACCTGAGCTTTGTTTTGGTCAAATGTATAGAAAATATTCACTTTATATTCACTCAAACTAATCAATCAAAAGACTAGTTCATTACAGCGTAGCCCATAGCCACTACTGTTGATGAGTTACTTTCATTTCATTTTAAAGGTCCTCCTGGTTTGTTCTAAAAGACACAATCCATACAGATCAATGTCAATATATTCTGAGTCAATGCGGCATCACTAACACCAGTAGCTGTAGGTAATTATATAAGGATTTAGCAGACAGACACGGATCGTGGTGTGCCAAACTCTGGAAGTTTATTTAAGTTTCTCTCAAGTTCCACTGGTTTACTCTGTTTCTTTCTCTCAGACAGAATAAAGGCAGTACACAGTTTATATAGTCATTGTCACGTCACACATCGAAAGACATACGTGTCACAAAGAGACAGTCAAATCCTAGTCATAACATGGAGTCCTTGTAGAGTCCTTGTACAGTCCTGCACGTAGGCCATATTGCTATCTAATACTAACAATTATATATAGGTATAATGTTGGTAATAATACATATATATCTACATTTACTCCTATTGGCTTAGTTTGGTCTTGTTCTCGTTCATGTTCGTTCTATCTTTTCAATTTTTTTCCTTATACAGTTATTAAAATGTTTGTCCTTTGAGCCTCCTCTGTGCAATCACCTGTCCATCCGGCACCAGCCCACATTCTAGCTTTAATTTGTTATTGACTAGACTATCGCTGAGGGAAGAGATCATTACTTTACAATAAGTGCAGTGCATGGAGCAAGTGACAGTGACATATGGACTCTTCTGACACTTTGACGACTCAGTATTTAAATATATTACCGCATTTCATGGCCAGTAGAAAGTGGGTACGTAAACGTGAGTGTTTTCGTTCAATTGATTTTAAGTATCTGAGTATTTATTTGAGTATTTGTAGTACATTTCCACGACCACAACTGTACGCAGACGAGGAGCAGCCAAGTTCAGCAGAGGGCAGCGAGCCGGTTGGGGGTTGGGTGGCTCTACAGTCAGATATATGCAGCTCGCAGCCTCCCGTCGTGCTCTGCATTTGTAACACGGAAAAAGCTCTGGGGTCGCCACAGCAACAAATCCCAAACTATTACAGCTATTAGACCCCAGCACCCCCCTTTTGTTACTCATCGGGTCCAGAGAGTCCAGGCCTCTGATAAGCCCTCGCCAGACTGGGACAGGGATAAGGCTGAGGCACATTTTGAAAGAAATATTTGCCATCTTATAAATTGTAGTTTTTTCAGATAACCATTGAGAAGAACTTGGGGGAAAACGGAAACAAAAAACCAATGTTTGAAGTTATGTTACTACCACTCAATACAACTGGACTTTTTGAATTGGCATAAAAAACGGTCAAAATGCACTGAAATGAAGAGAAACACTACCATATTGAACTCTCTCGCTATACTCTTATATATATTTGATATTTGTAGTGATCCTTCTATTTATATGCTTGTTTGTAAAATATGCAACAAGATGGTTTTCAGTTTGTTGAGGAAATAAAGGAATCTAAATAATTGTAGTCTGCTTTGCGGTTTTCTAATTGCAGCCACTTGAGATAAAATGTATTAACCATGCAGGCCAAGGTACAACGCTTGTCCAAAAGGCTCGAAATCTATTTGACTCATCTGTCAAAATTCAGACATTAATCACATGAAACTAGTATTGATACTAAATACAATTACAACAGGAAATATGGGAAAGTTCTTTAACAGAATAACTTTTCATTTTAACTATATCTGAAGGACTTTTTCAGGTGTTTTTCAGGTTTCAAGTTTGAATGTAGTATTGTGACATCACTTATGATTAAGATTGCGTGGTCCAGGTTCTGGCCGCTCTGTCAACAAAACCAGCTGTGACACCAGACCACCTCTTCTCCATTTTACAACTGCTCTATTGCGTTTCCACTTGCAGTGAAAGCTGATGATTCTCGGGCCAAAGGTCGGATCCAGGTCACTCATACTGTGTCCACTAAAAAGTTGTTCAATAAACCTAGAAAATGTTCTCTGTGCGCCGGTACGAGTGACATGGCTGAGTCAGACCTGAGAGTATGGATTTTCACAGCTTCAGTGAGCACAAAGGCAGGTTGTGGCAGTGGAGAAAATGACAAGTCTATTATCTATGAAGTCATGGGCTGGAGCGAGGCACGTTGGCTCTTGTTACTCTGATGCACATGAATACATCGAGTGCCACATACCAATATTGTATAAATGAACACCTGTGTATTCATTATCTTGCTATCCTAAAACATTTCGGGTTGTTTATGTACATTTCCATAAAAGAGAGCATGTTCAGTTGTGTGCCATGGCAATCTATCATTTGTTTCTGTGGGCCTATCGTTTCCTCGTATCCAGCTGATCCAGCATTTTTGGGTCCACAGTAAATGCTTTTCATGGATGTCGCATAAGAAGAATTCACTCAATGCAATTTAGGTATTGGGTGAGTGATGTTTTCCAATCGTATGCGTACTTAATAGGGTCGACCAATATGGTTATTTCAGGACCGATACATGTCAAAAATTAGTAGTGAAGGCGGCTGATAACATGAATCATATGTTAATCTAAAACACAACTAACGAATAGACAAAAATAATAGCTGCCGCTGTAAAACTGTATGTGATGTAACTGCAGAATTTGAGAGGGGGAGAGAGAGAGGGAGGGAGGGAGGGAGGGAGGGAGGGAGAAGTGCTCAAGCCTTATAGTGGTGGATAATGTAGCAGATGCTGACTGATCTGAAGTGATTTTATAAGTTAAATTTGACCGAAACTAACTAAACATGAGCGATGTTGTACAGTTTAGTCTGTTTAGTTGATATTTCTTATTATGTACTGTGTAAAGAATGAAACTGAAAAGGGATGGCAAAATGTTAGTTAGATATTTAGTCATATCCAAACCAAATGTGAGTTTGAGCCAGTTTTGAGAGTCACAAGAGCCTCTAGTCTGGTTTCTAATCATTCTATCTTGATATTTTATGACTGTGCCTCCTCAAGTCAGACGGGCGGATGTGGCATTGTTATGATTTGATGTGTTATACAAAAGCCAGTCGGTGACTCGGGTCTGGTCGAGTTGACAGGCAGCAGGCCCCGAGGAGCTTTGTTACTCAAGTGTCTGGCTGTACTCATCATCGCACACATGTCCAGATCTGCCTCAGACCTCATTACTCTCACCACTATCTCTTCTCTCGAGGTCACTGGGTGTTTTAGGTCTGAACGGGTTTGTCCATAAATGTCTCCCAAAGTGTCTCGTCACAGCTGATTTGTCTTGTTGACTTTTGCTGGAGGAATGTGTGACGTGGGTCTGAATGTGGCCCGGGCTCGTCCACTCTCATTCAGCAGTAAATCCCCCTGGTTTAGTCGGAGCTGTGATAGTCTCATGTCCCACACCGCGGATCCCAAACTGGTCTATTAGAATCTTTCACCGGCTTGTCATGTTTTCACTGTGCCAGGAATGTAAAGAAAAGTCTGTGTCGATGGGTTGACGCACAATTAGCAGCACGCCAAGAAAAAAACGTCCATGTGACTCTGCACAAAAGTGTCCTTTGTGAACATTCCTTTACTCATTTAAAAGAATTCTGACCTCTATGACAGAAAGAAATGCTCTTTTACTGGCAATTGTATGGGACATAATTACAGACATGTTGTTTGTATGTTGGTTGACAGCTTTTTGATTCGTCACAGAGAAGTTGTCGTTTGTGTATCATTTTTGTCTTGAGCAGAATGCAAATACATGAGACGTCACCAAATACCAATGCACTTTGTCATACCATAAAATATGTCAAAATTGTTTAGACATTTTTTCCAAGTTCCTACAATACCTCAAGAATACATTCCATGTGCACACTCACTTCTTTAAAATGTAAAACTTTTGAATTAAACATTTTAAAGAATAAAACAAACACACAGACAGACATAAACATATTCATACTTATAACTACATATGGCACCATGTGTGTGCACATACCATGGAGAAAGTATAGTGTAAGCCTCTTTCTATTATCCAATATTTTGTCCTGCGTTTTTCTATGTCTCTTGAGTCATAGTGAAAAAGTTAGACTTTCCATTGAATAAATCTCTTCAATGACATCTAACACACACTCACTACTGTTTATTGTAATTTTGTGTCCGTCGCACAATGATTTATTTCATGAAACATTTTAGGACAAGGATACATCTGTGTCCAAAGAGATTTTTCTGTTTCCATAACAATACTGGACGAATTATCCACATTTATTGTTCATACCGACTATTTTCTATGATGTTCTTTCTATGCATTAACTTAATCTTTTTCATGTTTATTTTGATTCTGTGTGTTCCTGCAGGCCTCCCCTTCCCGAGAGCTCACTGGAGAAAATGAAGCGATTCAAGCGGCACATTTCTCAGAGGCTACGAGGGAGCCACACCATCGACGATTCCTTGTCCGAACTCGCTGAGCAGATGACCATAGAGGAGAACGGACTCAAGGACAGCGGTAGGTTCAGCACCTACGCTCATGAAGACGTGGCCGTATATGTTTTGTACAGATCAAGTCGCATTCACCGAGTTGTCATAAAGAGCTCGAGCGCAGACGAGCAAGATCAAGAGTGTGATGTATTAATGCAAGAAATATTATCATTTGCTTATTTAAATCTGCTGGGATAGACACTTCAACGCCTATGACACATTTGAATCCTTTGAATGGTCAGTATATACAGAGGTGAATCTCTGAGAATCAAAAGCTCATTTATTTGTGTTATTCAACTTCAAATGTAAAACTAGTGAATGACATAGACTTATTACATGCAAAGTGACATATGCCAAGACTTTGTTATGGTCCAAAGTATTCTAATTATCAACACTTTAACAAAGAAAGGTTTAATATGTGTCACTCTGGGCGTAATGTCTGTCATGTATTAGTTTGACATTTTAGGCATAATTACAGAAGTATAAGGACTTTTGAAGGATATTCTGTTTTCCTGAGGAGCAAGAGCGCTGCGCGGAACAACTGAACACATAAACAACTACAGCGACTGGGCGCGCATTAGTAATGAGTGCAGCATCGACTTTGCGGAAAAAGTTAATGCATACAAGTGTTTTTTTCCTTAATATCACTTTATTATGAAAAAATTCAATTGATTTATCCTTTTTGTAATACACTCAATCCACAATCTCCAAACTTTTTTAGTGCCACGTATGGGTTTAATATTTCAATTCAATATTTTCACGGACAGAAACAGAGCTGGAGGTTTCTTATAACCTTGCCTGCAAGCTGAATTCTCGCGGTATTTGTGAGTTCACAAACACTCGAGAATACATCTTGTACCGCTCCCGCTTACACTTTTCGAGTCGAACCACTGGGTGTGCGAGCCAATCACGCGCCAGTCTGAGGGTTTAGGGCGGGATAACCGGGTTTGACGAAAGCAAGAAGTGCCGGGCCGAAGCAAAACAAACATGGCTACGCAGGAGGACGGACGCAAAGTCAGTTTTAGCAGAATCTCCAATTTTTTTTTGAAAGATGAACAGCGAGAGGCGCTTTGTACATTTCTGGACGGCAACCTTGGTAGGCGGGCACACAGCGTCACTTCGCCCAATCAGCTTCAAGTATTCTGCTGCTTACCCCTCCTTTCCCCGAAAGGATTCTCCGGGAGAAATCCCAGATTGATATCGCGGAGAACGCGTTAGAGTTCTACACAATCATCAATCTGGCTTTTGCCAGGTTAGGTTTCTTACCCGTGGTAGGGGAAACCAGAGCACCCGGAGGGAACCTATGCAGACATGGCCAGAACATATAAACTCCACTCAGAAAGGCCCTGCTCCGACCAGGATTCGCATGCAGGAGCTTCTTGCGGAGAAGTGAGAGTGCTAACCACTCAGCCAACGCGCCGGTCTTTGAAAACACTTAAATAAGTTATTCAGCAAGACGGTTTTGCACTTAGATCGGTCAAAACAAAATTATGTAATTTTGTTTTTCTGTTTGCCAGTTATTACTGCTTGTTTTTGGCAACTCCTTCGAGCAAAACTTCATTCTTTTTAACTGTCGAAGTATGAATAGGCCTATTACTATTTTTGCTCAAATCTGATACTTTTGCACTGAAATTAAAGATGTCCATATCAAAGATGAATAAACAATGGGACCAGTTATGTAAGGTCACAAGTGTTTATTACCCGTCAACATCTATATTCCCGTTCCTTTCTTTACATTGTGACCAACATTTATCAGTGTCTGCAATGTCACGGTGAGCAGAATATTTTGTAAATCTCCAAAGGGCGCTCTGTTTCCATGGAGCCAGTGCCATGACTTTGGTGTTGGATTGTAACTGCGTGGCTTTGTTTTGTCATTTAGAGAAATTTAAACAGAAATCCTTTCAACAGGATCAGTAACGATAACTCAGGAAATCACAAGAGCGCATTTATCTCTAACATACAAATAGGCCGTTCACATAAAAACCCTATTTGAATAAATTACTTTACATTGCCTTTTGAATATTTCAGTAAGTCCATGATTATTTTCAATGGTTTTAATGTTTTATACCGTATTAGAAAACTGTCCTTGTTACATGTAGTTTGAAAAAATGTTAGCAAAGAATAATCTCTGCCTCTTCGTGACCTTTAGGGACCAATACCCATTGCTTAAGCGCCAATATTGACTAATTCTCATAGCTTTTGGTCTCTTGTTGATGGAACTGTGACCAAGGATCATCCTGACAAACACTGATGTATTTTTTTTCTCCCCGTTCCTCTTGTTTTGCCCCGTCCCTCTCCCAACTCTCTCCAAACACTCCTCTCCTCGGTCTTGTCCTCAGTTTTCCCCTCTCGTCTTTTGTCCAAAACTTCTTCAGTCGTTCAAATTATTCTGCGTCCCGCCCCCCGGTGTCCACCTCCCTCTGAGAACCAACACGGCTTTGTAAAGAGCTTTTTGTGTCGTGATTAACACTGGGTTTGGCCAGAGCGTTCTGAGCCTGCTCCGGGATACTGTGTGTGTGTGTGTGTGTACGTGTGCGAAAAAGGATGGGAGAGTGGCGAGAGATGGCGCGGAGTAGGCAGATGAAATGTGTTCAGAACTGTTTGTTATTGGGTAAAACGCAGAGGACTTGATCTGATTACGTAACTGTGATAAGTCAGCGGCCAGTGCGGCGGCATCAGGACTTCTGTTACGGCTCCAAATGTTTCAGTTTAAGAAAAGCGGATCCCGATAATGCTTATTAACAGATGCACTACATGTTAAATACTCAGAAACGGCTCATCAAATCGAGTCACGGATGGTACGACATTTAAATGAACTTCTATATTTCCCATGGGACGTATAGTATTTGTGATGATTATGATCATTGCATCTGTCAAATCCTGTGGCGAGATCTCTATGGTGGGAAAATCCATCATGTTCCTATTGTGTAAAAGAAAATAGTTTTAGACCCCTGAAGCTAAGCAGGACAGGGCCTGGTTAGTACTGGGATGAGAGACCTCTGGGAACACCAGGTGCCACAGTGGGGCGGCTGTAAAGTGCCAAACTGCTGTTGTGTTTTTAGGCAAGACACTTCACCCACATTGCCTAGAATGATTCTGTTGTGTGCATGATGGTGGTCGCAGGGGCTGATGGCACATACTGGTTGCCTCGCTTCTGTCATTGTGCCCCAGGGCAGCTGTCGTTACAGTAGGAGTAGGAGTAGGAGGAGTGAATGAATAATGACATGTCTTTGGGTATCCAAAAAAGTGCTCTATAAAAAATATGTTTTTATTATTATTAATTCTATCTTGACAATGGTGGTTTTACAGTATGTTTTAAATCACAATATACACGGTCAATATTTAATGCATGTAAAGAAAGGCATAGAACACTACATCATCTATTGCTTAAACCGTCACCCACGTTTGTATAAGAGACTGACGTCAGACGTGAGCATAATAATGGGTTTCTATCTGTAATGTTAATAATAGTGTGCATCGACGCATTTCTCAAACAGGAAGTACAAAAGGGAGTGCTTCGATTTGAAACTATAATTGATCTGAATTGATTCTCTGGCCTCCAGCGGACAACACTTTTGACACTTAAAATATGACCAACGCCTATTTTTGGCTTGATTTTGTTAAAATGGGGAATTGATTGAAAATTCAGTCTTTTTGAGCGCTGCCACGGAAATCTAGATAAGTTGCATTTTTGCCATATCACCAAAGGCTTATCAGGGAGCCTTTGTTGATATGGCAAAATGTAATGAAGACTACATTACTGTCATCAGACTCCATTTTTTTGCGCAAATCGCTCCAATGTGACGTTCTCTCTGATGCTTTCGTCTCTTAATGGTCAATAATCACTGTTGAGTCAGCCTCGGCTCCTGTTTGACGGTTTCGTTATGTTCTGTCCGAGAGCCCATGCAGTGCTCCTGACTAAAACATTATCATCCCTGAGAAAAATATTGAGCCACATGCAAATAATTTATGTATTCAACAAATCCACTGTTAGTTTCACTTGTGCAAGGGCTTAGGAGATTAAACCGAAGCCAAAAATAGAAGCAAAACATGAGCTTTTGGGGCGTTCTTGACACTTTGATACAGAAGTGTATTATTTAGTTAAAATGTGACTGATGTGAACCTTCATGAACCATTGGCCTCGTGCCTCAGCGCTGTTGAGGCACAGCTCGATTGCAATGAACAGTTTTTCTTAGCGTGACTGTAAAGTTGTTATGTTACTCTCTGCCACCTGCAAGATTCCATAGAAATGCAATACTGTGGAAAATAATTGCCAAAGATAATTAGTACTTCTTTGGTATTTTCTTCTCTACAATGAAAGCAAATATTATGGAAAAAGCATGCTGTTATTCTTAACTGCTTTTTAAAGTTTGACCTAAATCTTTTCTTTGAGTAGGATTGTTGATGCTCTTCAGGGGTAGTTGCTTGTTCTATTCTTACAGTTATTTGTGTTAAACTTAAGGCAATACTTTACACTAATAAATCTGTCAGCACCCACAGTACCTTTTCTCTCTCAGTACAAAGCCTGTCTTTTCATTCCTTTACCAGGAACTTTTGTGTGTTTTCTGTAACCAAACTACAGCCGACCCTCCCCAGGTTACCATGACAAGCTCATCTGAAAGGTTTTGTGGAGAAAAACACCTTTGTTAAAGCAGTCCAAGTCAACAAACATGTTTTTTCACATACACTACGTGTGTATTTCATACTACAGTATGAACTAACTGCAATAATGCAATGTTTGATGTTGATACTGAATGTAAGGAACATGCACTTGCCATAAATGCGTGTTCTATGCAATAGTCTATGCATTAGTAGATTACACTTAAAAACCTCTTATGTAACCAGTGATTATTTGCTACAGTTCACAGCCACGCAGTTGTTGCTGTAAAGCAACAGGAAGAGGATTTGGTGTTGAATAACTTATGTTTAGTGTTAGGTTACATGTTTCAAATGATGAATATACATATATGAATCTAAAACCAAACTAGTGCAAACCAGTGCTGAACCAGAAATAAAACTGGCACCAGAGCATGAACTGAAACCAACAAAAGCTTTTTGTTCGTGATTGTGTTTAGAATTGCAAATGTTTTAAATCTCACATTTTATTGTGTTTTTAAACTGAATTATAACAAATTCTTAAAGGATGTAAGCCCGCATAAGCATTTAGTATTTCTGCTTCTCCCTTTGAGCCCCATGTGATCTGTAAGATCTTAGTCTATATATGAACAGTGTTTCCCACACATAGACTAATCTGTGGCGCACCGCCACAGATTAGAGACCGCCCGCCACAAATTGCGTTTCGTATTATTATATATATATTTTTTTTGTTACGCTATTTAAAACATGCATTGTCTAGTGCCGCCGCAGCGGTCAATTTGACAGCGGGGAGGGGGGTTTAAAATGTGGCGGCCCTTCGTAACTCTCACTCAAGCTACGCGTCTCTCCCACATACAGAGACCTACACACACACAGCCCCTCCCCTTCGTGCACACCGCGTGTCTCCGTCTCCATCAGCGATCATCGCTGTAAGCAGCTGTGTCTATTAATTTACCGCGGTAAAGTGGCCCGCATCTTTCAGCTCTATGAACATGCGGCCCGCATCGGGGAAAAGACGGTGCGCGTTTTGTTGAGAACTTACGGTAACAGCGGAACGTCCTTTCGGAGTCACCCATTTTTATCGAACAGAAAGCGCGCTGGGGTCAGGGAGACACGTTTTTGTGATTAAAACCTTATAGAGATGCCACCCGGCACACATAGCACCAGCCCCCTACGATTCCTCCGGCAGATTGTGAGTCCACAGGAGGATAGCCACTCTATTGTTTACATGTATAAAGTACACAATTTGGTCCGCTAGTGCAATTTTCAAGTATTGTAACTATTTACTGGAATAAGGTGTGCGACTAATTTCACTTGACTCATGACCTTATTATTGCCCTCTGCCACTGTACCAAAGACCAGAAACTTTTACTGTAGAAATATTGAGAAATATTGAGGTAAAGTAGCCATTTTGGTCCAAAATACCTCCAAAATAGTCAAAACATGTCACTTTTGATCTACTGTAACTTTTTACTGTAAAAAGGTGTGCGACTAATTTCACTGGATTCATGACCTCAAGATTGTCCTCTACCACTGTACCAAAGACCAGACACTTTTACTGTAGAAATATTGAGAAATATTGATTTAAAGTAGCCATTTTGGTCCAAAATAGCCTAAAAATGGTCAAAACATGTCACATTTGATCTACTGTAACTTTTCACTGTAAAAAGGTGTGCAACTGATTTCACTGGATTCATGACCTCAACATTGCCTTCTACCACTGTACCAAAGACCAGACACTTTTACTGTAGAAATATTGAGAAATATTGAGGTAAAGTAGCCATTTTGGTCCAAAATACCTCCAAAATAGTCAAAACATGTCACTTTTGATCTACTGTAACTTTTTACTGTAAAAAGGTGTGCGACTAATTTCACTGGATTCACGACCTCATGATTGCCCTCTACCACTGTACCAAAGACCAGAAACTTTTACTGTAGAAATATTGATTTAAAGCAGCCATTTTGGTCCAAAATAGCCTAAAAATTGTCAAAACATGTCACTTTTGATCTGCTGTAACTTATTACTGTAAAAAGGTGTGCGACTAATTTCACTGGATTCATGACCTCAAGATTGTCCTCTACCACTGTACCACTGTACCCCACTCCCCCCCCCCCCCCCCCCCCCCCCCCCCCCCGCCGACGACCACCACACATTGCCTTCAAACCTGTGGGAAACACTGTATGAAGCTCAATACACTTTACGCTCTCAATAAAAAAATATTGCTTTGCATTGATTTAAATTGACTTTTGTCAAGTCCTAATACTCAACAGAGGACTTTACAAAGTTGTTCATTTTCCAACAACAGATTACCATTACGTGGAGACCATGATGTTATTTGCTATTTCTTTATCTATTTCTTTTATTTAAGTTTCACTGGTGTTGTTTTTAGTAAGCTGCAAAACATTTACTCTGCCACAAGCGCCAGGCCATTTAAGCAATTCCAATATTTGACTTGACTCCCTCAGCCTTGATGCGTCACTGATCTGTTTTCTTATGTTTATTAAGAAACTACTTGTGTACACTGACTCTTGTTCTCATATTGTTAAAACAAGATAAACAAGTCTAAAGACTTGCTAGATGAAGTTTGTGAGTAATGTAAATACAGCACAACAATTAAATAAAATAATGTTTTTAATAGCCCTGTAGACAACAGTAGATATCTCTGAGGACTTTACAAAACCATTGAAATTGCCAACACAGATCAGAGAAATGCAATAATAAAAATACATAGGGCCATTGGTCCATAAGTGTCAAGTCTCCTGGATCATCACCACAGGTCTTTTAATAAAACGTTGCAGACCTTTTGTGAAGTAACTGGACTGGTGTTTTTTGTCCCTCCTCAGAGCCCATAGTGAGGAACGGTCGCCCGCCCTCGGCCCACAGCGTGCACTCCTTCCTGCACCAGTACACGGGGTCCTTTAAGAAGCCTCCTCTGCGGCGGCCTCAGAGCGTCATGGGGGGCGGCCTGGGCTCGCTCATGGTCATGCCTCGAAACGGCAGCCGCCTCGGTGAGATCAATCAGTCAACATGTATATTTTAAAACCTGTACAACACAAACAAAATAACAGAATAACACTTTTTATGTATACAAATTGGACACTAAATCCTTGATATATTTAAGTTTAGGTTTTTATCTCTCTATGAAATTGCCACAAATATAGAAATCATAATACACATCTTAAAGCCTTCTTTTTGTTTTTATTTCATTTTGGACCTAAACAGGGTATGTTCGGGGGTGAGTGGGCAGGAGGGGGAATCAACACACTACTTTACCATGTACCAATGTTTTTATTCAAGGTTTTAAAATACTGTGTGTCTGTTTTTTGTTATTGAAAAGGAAAACAAGAAAGTTGCGGTATCTGACTTTAGACTAACTTTAACTTTATTTTATTCCTATTATTATAGTTGTTGTTCCGACAGAAAGAGTCTTGTAAAAGTAAATAGTAAATCAGACTACATCATGCCGTCGTCTTCATCCTATTAGAGAACATGTATTGAGCATGCTTGTAAGAAAGAGCCCTGTAGGTCACTTTGGGCTGAGAGCTGATTGGCTGAGTGAGGGTGGTCCTCTTTTTTTCACTGTTCTGTCTGAAAAATATGATCTGAGTTTGTGACAGAGGCGGAGAATACTAAAACGAGTGATAGAACCAAACTTTTTGTTTAAATTTTTATTGATTTCTTTATTTGACAGGGACAATGTAGTCATACATAGTTAAAGCAGGATAGATGCAACTGTTGAGACACATACAGACGATGTAGCGAATACTATTTTTCAACTCCTGTCTCTGGTTGAGCTTTTCCCTTCAGTGCAACAGATTATATTAAAAAACACTTATTTACATGTTTGTTCATACAGTCTCATTAGCTTCCAGACACACACTTACTTACATACTATTTGTGTGAATCGACAAACACTTGGAAAAACGAGCCTCACCTGTTTGTGGCGTGTGTAAGAATTAGCGTGTTACCGTTTGATGGATAACTGTCTTGTTCATCCCAAGGCACTGCTGCAGATTACATCCATCAGTCAAAGCTATTAGACGTAATAGATCAACCTGATGCAGAGACATCGCCCTGACAACAAGGGACGATTATCAAAGCAACATCATTTTTCACACAACTTGCCCCATCTGTCACACGTGTACCGCCGCATATGATGAAGTTGATGTAGATTAGAGTTAAAGACTATTCCATAGCTATACACACTGTGCCTGTCACTAGAGCCCTGTGTTCCCCAACCTTTTTGAGCTGTGGCACACCTTTCTTACGGAAAACAAGCCAATCCACTTTATTCATAAAGCACATTTTACAAAACAAGTTTCCAAAGTGCGGCACAGAGATAAAAGTAACATTTTAAATGTACAGGTTTGACAGCTTTATATGTATAAAAATAGAATAGGTAAAACAATATGAATGATGTAAAATCCAGTTTTCCATATAAGAAATAAAATAAAAATAGAAATAAATAAAACCGAGTTACATGGAACTCCAACTGCCTTTATTAACAACGCAAGTCGTTCTCATCAAATTGTACTGCATAGAAAATCAAACAAGGGTAAAAAACAAAGTCTTAATTTCTCTTTCTTTTCACAGTATTTTCACTAATTATGTGGTATTGGATCATTTCCAAAGGCACACTAACGTACCACGGCACACTGATAAAAAACACCGCTATAACCAACTCGTTTTGCTTCTTTAGATATCGTCCATGAAAATTTTAAAATGGGGTCCGACGGAGAGAGCGACCAGGCCTCCGGGACGTCCTCTGACGAAGTGCAGTCGCCAACGGGAGTTTGTCTCAGGAACCGAGGCAACAGGAGAATCTCCGCTGAGGTAGACCTTTTTAAAATATTTTTGTTTCCTTGCTAGTCATTTCATTAACCCCAACCCTTTGATTGCAGTTTGCAGCATCATAGTTGAGGGAAATGATGAGAGAGGGTTCTTCTGCTCTTGCCCTTTTTTTTGTGGGTGTGTTTTGTGACGGGGACAGAATCGTGTTGCATGGTCACAGCTGCTTATCAAAGTCTCTACGGGAGACACACTCAATTATAAACTGAGATCTTTTGTGACTGCAAGAGATATAGAGGCAAAATGGGCAGAGGTCACTTTGACCTGCAGAGTTTGTGAATGAAGGTTCTGAATGAAAATGACCAGACATTGATTTTATCCATCCATTCATTTTCTTCCGCTTCATTCATTGCCGGGTCGCGGCGGCAGCAGTCTAAGCAGAGACGCCCAGACTTCCCTATCCACACACACTTCCTCCAGCTCATCCGGGGGGACCCCAAGGCCAGCTGAGAGACGTTGTCCCTCCAGTGTGTCCTGGGTCTTCCCCGGGGTGTCCTCTTTCATTTGATCTATTTCAAGCTTATAAACAGGAAGGAATTATGAAAGTTACTGCAATTACATATTATACATGATAGAAACATACATACGTTCATTCATACATACAATTAAGGGTTTTAGGGTGTATTCAGACCTGCTTGCTTGATCCGAATCAAAAGTGGACCAAACTTTTTTCTTTTGCTCCGGTTTGTATTCAGACTGTCCTTTTTGCAAGTGAACTTTTTTATATAAACATATCGACACGTGTGACGATCGGCGCTCCTATTGGACGGCGAGAGCTCACGGAGGATAGACGCGGAACCGGAGGAAAACATTGAGGGCTCGTATGTGCAGCATGTCTGCTCTGCCTATGTTTGCTCTTTTTAGAGCAAAACCACTTTCAACATCAACAGCAGCAGCTCATATGACACAGACGAAACACCTTGTTTTAAATATTGGAACAGCGTCGGAGAATGCGTGAGGAGAAAGCCGAAGGAGACTCTGTCTGTGCGCACCGTGCCCTGTCCCACACATGGATCTATGATAATAACGGCCCTGTTCAGCATTGTGGATAAACCATGGATCTATAATAACCACGGGACAAACAGACGCTGAGGATCAGGTATGAACCAAAGAACACAGTTCACTACATGATATTGCTTTTTGAGACGAAGTCAAAACAGTGTCAGGCTTTTAATAATGCAAATGATTTGAAGATGCTGCCATTAACATCACTGTATACTGTGAACAGTATGTGTATACTGTGAACAGTACGTTTAAAGTGGAGCAAATGTGCAGGTCTGAATACACCCTTTAGTTTATCTCTCCTGTCAAAGCTCAAAAAGGAGTGGGAAGAGGTCAAACTTATAAGCACCAACTTCATATACCTTAATTCACCTCATACGTTGCACACACACACACACACACACACACAATTTGCTTTCATTGTTTATTATTTTACAATGTCTAAAATTTTAAGATGTTCTGCCTGTCATGATATATTTTTTAAATGGCCAAATATCGGCATATTTCAGTACAGGCTAACGTTTCTTCTGACTGTTGTCTGTCTTCGGTGTGGGATGCTCTTTATATCAAGTCGACAGTGGTTCGTATATTCCACTGACTGCAATCACTGCGGTGCAGTTTTTCCGAAAGCCATGCGGGGTCAACACAGGAACACCTGTTTAATCAGCAGGAGATCATTGCAGACTCATATCAGACTCCTGTAAGCACCCCTCCCGAACGGAGTCGGAGTCTATTACTAATTAGTCTGTGGATCTGTTGCAATTGACTTGAAACTGAGGTATAATAATAATAATTATACATTGGTTTTCTATTGCGCTTTTTTGGACACTCAAAGATGTTTCACGTGTCATTATTAATTCACTCCATACGCAGCGGGGATAAACTACTACTGTAGTCACAGCTGCCCTGGGGCACACTGTACAATAGTACATACTGGTTGCCTTGCTTCTGGCAAGGCAACCAGTATGTACTATTGTCACCTCCGCTTATCACCAACCATTCACACACACACCAGACTCGTACGAGACCGAGTGGTTGAAGTGTCTTGCCTAAGGACAACACAACAGTTTGGCAACCGCTCCACTGTGCCACCTGGTGTTCCCAGAGGCCTCCCATCACAGTAGTATCCAGGCCCAGCCCTGCTTTGCTTCAGAAGTCTGAGAGGATCAGGTATGGCCATTTATCTGACTAAAATGAAAAATGGAAAAGACAATCGAGGCTCAATACAATGAAGCCACGTTTATACTACCGATAATTATTCCTCACCAAGGTTTTCCTGTATAGACGAGAGATATAACAGTCTGACTCATCATGTTCAAAAGAGACATTTCTAATCGTAAATGTTGCTCCACTCGAGTTGAACATGTTGGAAGGACAGACATTCACACAAGCAGCAACTGTGAAGTATTTAATCCATTCATCAGAAACCCTGCAAGGCTTCTTTGAAAAACACTTTTCAATATCAATTTAGCTTCAGACCATTTCCTGTTACTTCGCTGCATCTGTGGTCGTTGCATAATCTGAGTTCAGTATAAAACCTCTATCACAACTAATTTACCTCCTAATCCTTTAAACAACTGTCTTTGTAAGCACTAACCCAGGATTTAGACATTTACGAGCTACAAATGGGTCCGAACGTCACATTTGGTGGTTGTTTGTCGTCTCTGTGGTGCTGTCAGACGACCACATGGCTTCTGTCTGCTGCTGTGAGCTCAGAGGAGGCTGAATGTTGTGATTGAAGCGCTCTCGTCACACTGCGTTTCACGAGTCCCTTTGATTGCGCACTGTGGGGCAGGTGTGTGTGCGCAGCCCGGCAGAAGTGTGCACTGCAGAAGAGAAAAAGTTTCACAAGAGGAACTTCACACATGACACGGACCTCGTCTCCTGTTGCTGTGGCGATCAGGGCCGTGGTGCGTCACATGTTTTTTCTGTCCGTTTCACAAGTCATTGTGTCAAAAATCAACAAGTCATAATTACGGTAGACGAAGACTGCGTCAATATCGGTTCAGTCAGGACTATTTTAATCCTTTTAGAGGGTTGAAATTAGAGCTGAGAAATGTATTCATACCTACTGTAGAGTCGCTTCTTCAAATAACACATAACACTACTCATTGCTCATTGTAGTCATTTGACATTTTATTTCAGCGTACTCATTCAAGGTAAATGTCTTCTGTCTGGGCTGTGGTATTTGTTAATATCGGGTATAAAGCGTAGGAACTCAAAGACTAAAAGCCGATTTCGGGTTAATCGTTTTTGGGTTTTTTAATTTCTTGTCTCATCTATCAATTAAAAATAGTGATATTGGGAGATGGCAATATTCTTTACATATTATCATGAACTACAAATGCAAATTGTCACACTCTCTAATGCAACGTTGTTCTTCAAAAATACACTTTTACTATTTTTTTTGCTCTTCAGAAAGAACGAAAAACATTCTTGTAAATGTCAAAGGAACCGGATGGACTGTAAAAGGGCCACAAGGGGTCTTTCTTTTTTTTTTTTTCGTAATTCTTTTGTATATTTTATTCATTAACACCGTAAATGTTGCTAATCTATAATGACAATTGTAACATTATATATTTTAAAATTATCACATGATTAACTACAAAACACTCTATTCCTGCCTCCAGTCTCTCCTGAAAATATCCTCCAAATCCTCCTGTAACTTTTTGAGTCGTTAAGTAATCTTTATTTGATCGCGTTTCACAGACGGTCCCTAACTATGCATTTGTTGTGGCCATTTTTCCTCTCACTCCACACAGTGATTGAAGCGGGGTCGCCATACAGGAGGTGCATGCCAGACCTATTGTAAATGTTTTTGGTGATTGGAGAAACCAGAGCATCTGGAGGAAACCTACACAGACACAGGGAGAACATGCAAAGAAAAGAATAGCCCCATTTAAATTGCACCCAGGACCTTCTTGCTGTGAATGAAGCACAAGCGCTAAGACAAAACAAACCGGTTATCACTGAGTTAATGCTGTATTTTGCGTCAGTGCGATGTAAAGTTTAAAGCAACAGTGGTTAAAAAGTGATGTCACTGGTGGAAAGTATTTCGTCTTTTCTTGATTCCACTTTTCCACTGCTCATGTGCTCTTGATGAATGAATCCTCCTCGTGTCCGCGGCCTCCACACGGTTGCTTCCTGGTACGAGGGATGGGAGGAAGTAGTGGGCATGTAGCAGATTGTTCCTCGGCCACTCCAGAGGAAGCAAGAACTGTTTTGGGATTACATCACCGGGATTACTGTAATACTCTCCAGATGGGGCCCTGTTGTAGCAGATTACGACGGCTTGATTGGACAACGAGAGAGAGGCGGGAGCCAAAGATCATGTGATGGATGACTCTGGGGACTTTCCGCCAATCCCATAACAGCTGAATGGGATAATATTATCTACCAATTGTATCGTTATTGGCTGGGGTTCAGCAACATGGCAGCTTGCTTCACAAATCTGCCTCTCTTTTTCATTAATTGGATAAGAACTTGTAATCCATGCAAAACACAGAATGTTCGCAACATGTGTGTTCTGTGTAGTTCCAGTGTTGTTTATTTACAGCATAAAACGTATTTGTGAAGTGGGTATTTACTGCTTAAGTTTTGCCAAGTGGCACTTTGTTGTAATCAGGTGCATGTGGTAGTGTCAGGCACTTGGGTTTAAGTTAAACCGGGAAGTGACAAGAGACGCTCTCAGTGGATTTATGAATGAGTAGATTCTGGAACGGTCAACATTTGTGCAGCATTTTGTTTAATTTTTTGGATTTTAAAGTTACCCATGAGTGAGGACTAAGACACTATTGGACCAGAGATCTAGAGATGATAGATGATGATTTATTCCCAAAATAAATTATTCGTTTTTAACCTCAAAGGAAATTAAATGCATGTTTGAGGAATGGATTAAATATTCAAAATTAGTTTATGCCAAACTAGACAATTTTCTACATTTTATTTATTTATTTAATTTTTGATTCAACAAGGATAAAACTCTTTTGCAAGAATGTCCTGGATGATCGGAATCCAGGTCTTTTATGTATTTCTGTTGATGTTGGTCATTTATCAACTATAAAGTCTCAGGGCGCCCACTTTTTAACTTTCATGTAAAAAAAATCTCATGGTTTGGATCAATCACTACAGAATATACACCATCATTCCCCAACGTTGGAGAAACATCATGTTCTAAGTTTTCCCATTATCAGGATCACTTTTCCACAGAGTGTAGTGTGCGCACAGATGTCCTCAGATTAAGCCGGTCTCTAAGGACATCCGCATATTTAACAGTTATCGACACAGGCCTCTCTGTAGAGTCCTGAGGTAGCTGCTTTCATACCTGCTCCTCCACACCCCACTTGTTTACACTGGGTTTCGGACGTTTGAATAAGTTATTACTATTTACCTGAAGCTTAAAGCCTTTGCTGTTGGCATCGAAACTGTTTCTACACAACATTCTTTTGTTCTTTTCAGGATTTGAACAAGCGCCTCTCTTTACCGGCTGACATACGGATACCGGATGGATACTTGGAGAAACTTCAGCTCAGCAGCCCTACATTCGACCAGCCCCTGAGCCGGCGATCGCGGCGTGCTTCACTGGTGAGCCGGAACAAGGCACTATCTTCAAAACATAAAAACTCAGATATTTAATTCTACGTTTAGGCATATTAACCATAGTTCCACACATATGACTACTGTGTTGGCCGAAACTGCATGAACTGCAAATAATGGCTTGTAAATTCTATGTATACTAATCAGCTGTATGTACTTCCTGTGGTTTCTTATTTGCATGTGAAACTTTCTCTGTTCTCGGTTATGCGTTTCCACGACTATATCCACTTTGTCTCTCAGATGTCTCGCTGTGGCTTGAATATAGCTGTTATGACGAATCAATACATGTTTTTCACATTACACGCTCCTGTTGGTCTTAATGAAATCTGGACCAGACTTATTGTTTTAAGTGTGCGATTGCTGATTTTCTCTATTTGATTATAACAAGTAGGAATGTCAAATGTCGCTGTGGTAGCAATAATACAATCTTTGACAATTTCTTTGACCTTAATTACCAACCTGTTAACAGTGAGGCACACCTTGCAAATGAAAACCATGCGGACATATATAACTATAAACGTATAAACAACAATATACATAAGCTGGCCTTCTGCTGCCAATAAACAAGGCTAACACATTATGAAGCAGCCAGCAGCGTTTTGTCACAACAGATTAGCGGTGCGTCTGTCTGAAGCTGTGTGACCTCCATATCCACTGCCACACTGTCATAACCATTCATTTTGGTCTTCATTAAACCTGACATCACTAGCAATAAATAATGTTTTGGTGTTTCCTCTGTGTTCCTTTTTTCAGTCTGAAATAGGATTTGGGAAACTAGAGACTTACATCAAACTGGACAAACTTGGCGAGGTAGGTCTCCCAGGTGCAGATGTTCTCATAGTGATAAAAGACGCATGTTTACTTGTTGCTTCATTTGGAAACTTTCCCATGTTCCTCTTTTCAACCCTCCAGGGCACGTACGCCACTGTTTTCAAGGGGAGGAGTAAACTGACGGACAACCTGGTAGCTCTGAAGGAGATCAGGCTTGAGCATGAAGAGGGGGCGCCCTGCACCGCCATCAGAGAAGGTACAGATCCTCTTCTCTCTGGAGGATTCAGTGGTAAACTCCAGCTCCTTCAGTGATCATCTGATGTGACTCCAGTTTTAGTGATTGATTACAGACATGTGCATGCAAAGGCTTGATCCTTTTAGATCTCAGAAGCTAAACAGGGCACACCCTGGTTAATACTGTGATGGGAGACTTCTGTAAACACCAGGGCCCAATCCGTTGTTTGTCCTTAAGCAAGACACTTCATCCACATTATCTTATGAAAAATACTGTACAAGATTCAAGACATGGCCAAATACTGCTGATACTTATCTTCCAATGTCTGACTTGTATTGAGGGCCACAACAGTAAATACAAATTGACAATCTCAATTTCCTTTTATGGATCAGAGCTCCATCTCCTAGGCTGCCATGCTGATTGCTTTATAGCATTTCATGATATAGTATGAATGAGTGTTAAATGATTTTTTTTTTTTTTTTTTTCCAGTGTCGCTGCTGAAGGACCTGAAACACGCAAACATAGTGACGCTGCACGACATCATCCACACTGAGAAGTCGCTCACACTGGTCTTCGAGTACCTGGTGAGACCTGCGCACCTGTTCTCTGCATCACACATGTATTATTTAGGCCGCAGATGCCTCGAAATAGACCAGAAAACACGATACATTCATTATTATTCACACGGAGGTCGACTTAGACAGGAGTCCAGCTGGAGCAGGTTGTGTCCTTTGGTTCTTTGCCCTCTCATGCCCCCCTCATGCCCTCTGATGTCTTGTCCCCTCCAGGATAAAGACTTGAAACAGTACATGGACGACTGCGGGAACATCCTGAGCATGCAGAATGTCAAGGTGAGCCTCGGCGGTGGTGCCCTGCCAACTAAAACCAGACTTGTGAATGAGCCTTGTTCTGGCTCATAGTAGAGGCTTTGTTGCTGTGCCCCCTGGTGGGAGAAAACGGGGAGTTGTGGGGTGTTTTTTCGTCTTTTCTTTTTTTTGATCAAATGGTTATTATCATTAACACATAATACGTTTTGTTTTCTTTTTAGATATTTTTGTTCCAGATCTTGAGAGGTTTGGCATATTGTCATAAACGGAAAGTACTACACAGAGACCTCAAACCCCAAAATCTACTCATCAATGACAGAGGGGAGCTCAAGCTGGCAGACTTTGGTACAATTACATTTCTTATTTTACAATTTCTCATTGTGTTGTACAAGTGTGACCCAAAGGGAGCCAAGACAGTTGTATTCTTTAGTCATGAGTACTGTGAAAATGATCATTCCACTGACATTTTTATCCCACAATCCATATTGATTAAGTGAACTTTTGAGGGAAATACGATAAGGTATCACAGATCTGCGCGTAGCAAATGTTTCCATCAAAGTCAGGATTTATCTAAACTACTAGGTTGAAACATTGTGGACTGCCACGGCAAAAAGACTGGGCGTATATGGTCACAAGGAGAACGAAGCAGAGAGGATGTGTGAAACCAGCGCAATTATATCATGTATCAGAACATACAGAGCTGTGATCATTAGTCTGGCTGTGCTCTCGTACTTGCTCGGCCGCGTACACAGCAGCCGTGACGTCTCACTTGATGCTGGACCGAGGTCTGACCGCCCACATGCACCGCAGCTGTGAACCTCTCCGTAGCTCCCATGGTCAAACTACAGACGTGCTTGAGTCCCCCTCCTCACTCAGTCCCCTCTCTCTCACCGACAAACACACAAGGCTGAATGCTCTTTTAGTTAGTTTCTTGCACTTGTTTGTGAATGAGAGCCCAGGACATGTATTAATGATAATATAGCGCTTTTTGGACGCTCCACATGACATTATTCCTTTAACTTCATACACAGTGGTGATGAACTAAACTGGCCGTTCTGACCACTACCATCCATCACACACACACCCCACTCATTGTAGGCTATGTGGGTGAAGTGTCTTTCCTAAGGACGCAACCACAGTTTGGCATTTTACTGCCACCGTTCTTGGGAATAACTCTGCCTATCCCCTGCTTTTTAAGATCAGCATGTTTTAAAATAGGAATGAGCTTGTCAAAAATGAGACAAGATGCGGATCGGTCTGGGATCGTGTCCAGCAGAAGACATTTTATTGATGGCAACACAAAGATTTTCTGTGTGCATGTGATAGTTTACCAGGATGGAATCATAGACGGTCCAATCAGCAGCTGCCACAGTGCCAGTAGCTTCGGCCTTCAGAAAACCAAAACATCAGGTGGAAATTCACTGGTGCATACTGGCCTAAGAACAGCTTTAACCACAGTTTAAAAAGTGTTATAATAGATCCAAACATGTTTTAAAATGGGAATGAGCCTTATTGAAATGTATGGCCACATGGGTTTGCATAATTAGAAAGCCACTCACAAGGGTTTGTGTGCTACTGTAGTTTTATGACGCACATGTTTGATGCCTAATTATTGCAATTATTTTGAACAGGCCTTGCCAGGGCGAAGTCAGTGCCGACGAAGACCTACTCGAACGAGGTGGTGACGCTGTGGTACCGGCCCCCTGACGTGCTCCTGGGCTCCTCCGAGTACTCCACTCAGATCGACATGTGGTGAGTGGGCCGCACATGACCCGGGCCGTTACAGCGACAAGAGAACGCCGGGCTCCTGACGTATCGTGTGAAGTGACTGAGGCAGGACGAGGGCGGCTCACAGGCTGTAAACATGAGGACGTGTGATGCAGCTATAGCTCTTTGTAGAAGAGTGAGAGCCACTATTGTAGAAACTCTGTCATACTTTCTGATCAATATGAAAATTCAACAGTTACCTCACTTGGTTTGAAAACATAATACAGTAAGAGTGCAGGTGAAAATTACAACATTGTTCAACAGTTCATTTATTTCTGTAATTCAACTTTAAAATGTGAAACCAATAGATAGTTATACTTCAGGACTAATATGACTTATTACATGCAATATTCAAATTTTCTGAGATGTTTTATTGGGGTTTTTACAAGCTGTGAGTCATAATCATCAAAATTATTACAAATATAGGCTTGATGAATTGCTACTATATTTTAGAGTCACATTGTAAGTTGAATTACAGAATGAATAGTTTATGTCTTTGCCCATTATGTACATTAGATCTCAGGTCACATGTATTCAAAGATTGTATACATTTCACAATAAGAAAAAAAAGAACAAAATTGTGTATATTAAGAATGCTAAGTAATGCCGAGAGGTGAATGGACTTTTGAACGATATTCTAATTGTCCGAGTCTCTCCTGTAACATGTGTTTGTTTTCTGACTCACATGTACAGGCCATGAGCTATGTACCTCGGCATAGATGTTTAATAAGTCAGGAAAGGTGTGTCATTCCGGCAAGCGACAATTAGAAATTTCCCCGCTGTGGGACGAAAAAATGATCTGTTAATCTCTAAGGACATGTACAGTACTGCTCATCCGCTGTCGTTTAAGTCGTGTGGGTGTGAAATATTACTCACTGAAACGTCCATGTGTTTTCATTGATAAAACTGCCCCCAGTGTTGAGTGTGAATGAGTCACTGCTGATGAAGACTTTTCCCTGAGTTGTCCTGTGTGGTATCCTCCTCTTTAGGGGTGTGGGCTGTATATTTTACGAGATGGCTGCTGGCAGACCTCTGTTCCCAGGCTCCACTGTGGAGGATGAACTGCACCTCATCTTCAGGCTGTTAGGTCAGTGCTGCCCCCTGCTGATGGGCTGGTGAACTGCATCCAAGAGCTTTTAATCATATTAACCTGGGGGCAAGACTGAAAGCCCCTGCGTCTGCTGTCCTCAACTTCTACTGACTTTCACTTGTCGTTCTGTAGGCACGCCCTCGGAAGAAATCTGGCCCGGGATTTCATCTATTGATGAGTTTAAATCGTACAAGTTCCCCAAATACAAAGCACAGCCACTTATAAACCACGCACCAAGGTAAGACGACAACAATTAATTCAATTCAATCTCATAATTTGACACCGTTTCATGCGTCTCTGGTAGCCCTCTCATTACTGGAGATGGAAACACGCATATTTTCCTTGCACAGCCCAGGTATAAGAGTGACCCCCTGTTTAGCGTGTCTAGAGATTAGACATTAGTAGTATTGGTTTGTTTAGTTAGGACTGTGCACTCTGTCACTTCCTGTGAGGAAATCCTGTGGAATAGTTGAGTGTGTTTGCTTCCCCTGCACCAGTGTGCACGGCCCCCTCTCACTGAGACCTCTCCCTGTCTGCAGGCTGGACAACGACGGCATCGACCTCCTGATGTCATTCCTAAAAGTGAGTCTGGACCACGTCTGCAAAGCGACGGCCTGTTCATATTAGCATCATGAGCGCATGTATTTTTGGAAAGGGAGGATTGAAGACGAGCCAACAGAATATCAGTTACACATACTGACCACAACTGGACAATAGTGACACGCAATGAGTGCAACTATGTATCGAATTAAAACTACCACACTATCAAAAATAGATACTCAATCGACTGTGTTTGTTGAGAGATAAATCAGTAATTCCTGGAGTAAATATACATAAATATACAGTTGTGAAAGTGGGGGTAATTACAACGGCACAGATCATTTTGAGTGTGTGGATGGATCCCTCTCGCCCTAATTTCAAAAAGTGGACAGAAAATATACTGTATTTAGAATAGTTTCATATGAAAGTTTTTTGCATAGATCAAATGATGACATGGATACTTTGAATAAATCTTGGGGGCAGATGGTTGAGTCATAATAAAGGGGAGGAATACAAGGTGCTCTTTGTTTACACCTGAAATACTTTTTCAAAAAAATATAAAATAAGATTTCATGTACAGGCTTGTCTTGTCTTGTTTTTCATTGTAAGTTATAGGCCCATAATCATAAGTTTGATGTGAAATGTAAGGACTACTGCTGTTGTAAAATCAAATAAAAACTTGAATTATGAAAATAGATACACATTTGAGCAAGTATCGGCACTAAAGACAATTACTTTAACGAGACAAGTATTGTTTTTAGTATAGACTTCCAGTTGAAATGTAGTATTGTGACACTTTTACAGATCAAACATTAAACTAGAACTGAAAGGGCATGAAATGGGGCATGAAATTTCCTTTAGATCTTTGAGATTTGTGTCTGTAAATCAAAATGAGACCGTGTTTGTGTGTCATGTGGAATAGCAGATGCATATAACACACGTTTGTGAAGCAACAAATGTGTCTAATAAATCCTGTCTCCTAATTCCACAGTATGAATCAAAGAAGAGGGTGGCGGCTGATGTGGCCATGAGGCAGCCGTACTTCCGGAGCCTGGGGCCCCGTGTGCACACGCTGCCAGAGAGTGAGTAAGAACATGGCAGCCGCTGATGCCTCTTGGCAGGCGTCTGTAGGTGCAACTCTGAGCGATACTTCAGCGTTCAGTGAGGGTCGCTTTCAGACTTGTAACAAAGACGCTATTCTGCCGGCAGAGCGATTTCTCCAGACGGCTTTTCTGAACTGTTTTGATTTGTCATTTGGCAGACATATCTATATTCACACTGAAGGAGGTGCAGCTACAGAGAGACCCAGGCTACAGGAACGCCTCCTACCCAGAGTCAGGTAAAGCCCCACCCCAGAGCACAAGGAGGTGCGTAAATTTGTTCTGAGAAACACATTTTCGAGAATGTAAATTTCTCCAGTGTGAGATCAAAAAAGTTTATCTTATCTTTATAATGCACTTCAAATTCAATTCACTTCAACATTATTGCACTAACAAAGTGCGATAACTCTTACAAACATGGTTAAATGGCACGCTTCCTGGCGTGATGCAGATGGTTGAAAGTACTATGAATATAATTTCACACTACTCATACTTTTTTGCATGTGAAAGCCAGATCCCATCAGACCTCTGAAGCAAAGCAGGGCACCACATATGATACTGACTGGAAAACCTTTCAACTAAGTGTCTATAGTGTTGAAAAGGTGCTACCAACTCATCATTAAGAATTTATTAGGTTTTTAAATGTTAGTTTAATCTGTGGCACTGTGAAATGTACATTCAAATATTCTAAAGCTATTGTTTTCTTTCAGGCACTGGGAAGAACAGAAGACAAAGCATGCTGTTTTAGACTTGCTGTATTCTTTCCACTGGACGAAGGTCTGTACCATGATGTTGGCGTCCCGTCGCCATCTTCATCCCTCTCTCAAATGTTACGGTCCAAACTCGTCAGGCCTCAAAAGAGACATTCAAGAAACTGTACATCTATATTTATTAAGAAGAGAATTTGCTGCTAAATCAAACTACTGTCTAGAAATCTAACTGGCTCAGTCACTTTAATGAGTACATGCAATGTGTATAGATTTGTATATTTTTTTGAAGTGGTTGCATTTTTAGTATTTTTTTGTTGTCTTCATTTGCATTCATCAAACGCGGCCTGTTTGTCAGCGTTGTTATGTAGCAGCCAGTGGCAGCATTGGTTCAGCTCTCCGTGTCTTTGACAGTTACTCTGAAGGTTTTGGGGCAGCTCATAACAGATTGAATATAACTTGGGCATCACTGGTCGACGCTGTGGCTCAGAGCAGACGCCGCAGAGGACACACAGCATCAGGACGTTATGCCTCATGAGTATTTAGATGCAGTGAACGATCTGCAGTGTGTGGCATCAGCCCCAGCTCAACCCTGTTTTTCTGCTCTCCTCATCTTCATCAAGTTCCATGTCTGGTCTGTTGTGTTCTGCCACTGCAGCAATTAACTCATGTCCTCCCTGTCGTGAATGCAACGCCAAACTGGGTCACATCTGTAACAGTGTTGAAAAATTATGTTTTGTACCATTTTCTTTCACTTTATTTGTGGAAATTGTGGGATTTCATTGAAGATGCTCTCCCATGCATTTTTTTTCCCAGAGACAAATAAATTAAAATTTGAAAACTGAATATTGGTTTTTTTCTGTACAAAGACAACAACAGCAAATGATATGTATAAGCATTCAATGCTGTTTATTGACAAAAGACAATGAAACATTTTCCAATACAAAAATGATACAGAATACATACTGTATACCAAGTCCAGTATAAAAAGAAACAACAAACTGTTTTTGATTTGAAATCTCGTCTTCATTAACGTTTAAAACAGACAAAAGTATACAAGGCACAGCCGGTATCTGAGAAGCATAGTGCATACTGCATATAATACATACAACACCACAAAGTGAAAATGTTTCACTTTGATGCACACTTAAAAGGAAGTCTTACAATTGTAGATCCTGCGCAGAGCTGCAGGCCCACTACTGTCCTCAGTGGACAGGGTCATGTGGAAATGTGCTCAAGTTATTCACAAAGATGTCTCTCAGACACCCAGCGTATGGCTTTACCAGGAGCGTAAACCTCTGGTATCTGGAGTAAGTCAAGTGCAAAAACGTGAGGTCACAGACGTCGCATACAACTCTATAAAGATGCCGACTGCTGATGAAGAGGATTTCACATGAGATGAAGCGGCTGCATCAGGACTTGTGAGTGGAGGGCGACAGGAGCAAGGAGGAGGGGCTTCCGTCCAGCCCCGGCAGTGGGACTTGCATGTGCCCATTGATTAGACTGGGGAACTGCAGGAAAGAGGAAGAGAGGCAGAGTCAGGCGGATGTGCTGTGAAAGCCACCTGCATTGTCACTGGCTGCAGTTTCCTGTTTTTAAACTCGTGTAGCTCTTCCTTCTGTCCCCTGCACGTCTCCACAACACAAGTCACCTCTGTTTGTCTCAAGATCCGGTGCTGTGTGTTTGAGAAATGAGCCGCTCTAAACCAGTCCGCCCTGTTCAGACCGGCTCCCCTGGGCTCAAACAGGAAGTATTCACAGGATTTCCTCCCCACTTGAAACGGGACACCTCTATTAGACCTGTTCACTATTTGCTCTGCCATCTCCTACCACTGCAGCAGTAATGCTATCATTCAAAGCTGTCAGAAAATCAAAATCAAACTACATTCAATGGAATAGACTTCATACTGTTTTCAAATGGAGGTACATTTAAAGATAAGTATATAGAAGTACTGCATTGTGTTTCCCCCCACTTACATGTTGAGCTAATTGCCCACTTCTCACCTGGAAAAGGGAACTGTGCCCCTGTAGGCGGGCTGGGCTGAGGGGGGCCACAGGGCTCAGGCTGCTCCAGAAGTGGATCCCAGACAGCAGTGGACTGTGGGCCAGCAGCAGGCCTGATGGAGTCTGCACCAGGACAGAGGGAGACAAGATTCAAACACTCGGAGCCTAAGGCCGGTCACTGCTCTAGGTCCCAGTTAATGCAAAACATGCTGAGGTTGTAAATGGACGTGTATCGGCGTTTGGAAAAAAAAACTGCTCGAGCAGGAAGGAAGTCTGTGGTTTCTCCCTGAAATTCAGGGGTGACGTGGGGAGGAGCGGGCAGAGAGGACTGTTGTTGATTGGGGGTGGAGGGCGCACAAGCGTTTGGACGTAAAGAGAAAACATATGAAATCAATTTCTACTCTCCCCTGTCCCTCCCCCACTTTCCCCTGTGTCACCTCAGAGAAGTGAGCCAGTGTTGTCCCGGGACCAGCCCTGCTCCCATTATTAATGGAATTATTGGAGCATATGGCATCACTTAGGGCCTCTTCCCCTCTCATAGATCGGACTTGCACACAATTTCTGTAAATCCCTTGTTTTTTTCTCTCTCTTACTCTTCTGTTACAAACTGTGAGTGCGCTTTTCTGAGTTTATGGACAAATTCCAGTGGCAGCGGCATCTCACCGTGCCCAAACACATGATGACATGTAGCTGCAGTTATGTCACATTACAATGGTCATGCTGCAGTTATCCAAATGGCCTTCACATAATCACAATAAGGACTGTTGTAGATGCAATATACAGTAGTATTTATATTACAGTATTTATATTACACATTATAGTATTATATGTATTCACTAACACAGCTTTGGACAGTGCTCTCAGTCTCTCGTTGACCTACAGTGGTTTGAACAGAGAAAAAAGTACTTTGGTTGTTGGTCCAGATTAACATTTAAACAGCATATGCAATGAGTTTTCCCATTACTATAATATCCATAATTTTTCTATTGCTGAGTCAAAGAGGGAAAAACTCAGCAGTTGTGTGCATGTTGTGACGTGTCTAAACCAATGCTGGAGGAGCAGTTTTGACTCCAGCAGAAATTGCTGTTGCTTTTGTAGTGGAGGAAATGTAAGCGTTTCACTCTTCACAGTGTGTCACATGAGCAGAGATTCTCACCTGTGCAGTGAAGAATGCAGGAGTCAGCGATCCAGAGGGCAGGGCGGGGCTGTTGAGAGCGATGGAGCCGATGTCACTTCCTGCCAGCATCAGAGGAGGGGTCGAGATGTCCAGCGCTTTGGGCTTTCTGTTTTTTGAAGGGAGTCCATCTCCGGAGCTACAACTGCTCCTCCTCTGTACTCTCTGCTCCTCCTGTGCCCGCTCCCTGTGTCCCGCCGACAGGTTGAGAGGCTGAGCGCTGTCCTCCTCTCGAGCCGGACTCCAGCCTTGCGTGTGAGGGGACCGGGGGGCTTTGGGAGACACGTAGGACTCGGCTTTAATAGAAGGAGGAGGGCTCCTGTCATTGTTTCCAAAGCGGATGACAGAGCGTGGCTCGTCTTGTCTCTCCCTGAGCTTATGCAGAGAGCTGAGGCTGAAGGAGGAGTACAGGCCTGAGTGCAGGTAGTCAGTGCGACAGTGCTGCTGTCCCAGAACACCCAAGGCCTCCCTCCGCACCTCTTCCTCCTCCTCTTCCTCCTCATCTTCCATCTTCAGCTCTGTGGCCTCAGCTTCCTGCAGCGGGCCTCTTCCCATCTCCATTGATTGAGGGTCCATCTTCAAGATCTCCGGGAAAGACACAAACTTGTACACAAACTTCTGTCCAATCACCTTCTTGATGATGTTCTGAAACAGAGGGAATGTTGGTGTTACTGGTTATTTCAAAGTGGCATGATTCTAGTTTCTCAACCCAAGCTTTATCATGATAGTGATGACATCTGTGTTGAGTTTAGCAAAGAGGAAGGGGAAGTGTCTCTGAACCACAAAAGGGCCATGGACCATCCTCGCGCTCACGGAGGACGCTCACCTTGTCGTAGTAGTAGCGCAGGGCTCGGCTCAGCTTGTCGTAATTCATGTTAGTCTTGTTTTTGCGAAGACCCCACAGTTTGGCCACCTCCTCAGACTTCAGGAGCTTGAACTCTCCGTCCGTGGATGTCCAGCAGATCAAGTGTTTGTGACTCTGGTCCAGCAATAGCTGCAGCAGGAACTGCCACAGAGTAATGGCACTGTCCATGTCTGAAACAGAAAACATGGTCAAGAGATAAGAGAGCATCTATAAACTGACAGAGGTATACCCTAAACATGACCATCAAGCTACCTCTATGGACAAACACAATTCAGGCATCAATATGATTCAATCCAGCGAGCCCTCTACAGACGTCTTGCAGCTGAACGGAGGGGAGTGTTAACTGCCCGAGTAAAGTGACTGTAAAGTAGCAGCAGCGTGCACATAACGAGGAACAACAGCTCCAGCCAAAAGTATGCTGCGGTCCAACCTGGCTCTGTGCACAGGAAGCATGACGGCCCGGGGTGGGTTAGTCCTTTAATAGAGGAATGTGCAGCCGCTGAGCTCCTGTCTGCTCCTCACAGATCCTGCACTCGCCGTCACAGACGGCGTCACAGACCAATCAAGTGTCCCTGTGTCGCTCATCAAACAATGTGCTTATATGCAATATTTCTAAACGCTTTCACTATTTATTTTCTCAGACACGGCTCTGATCACAGAAACACGTAATTCAGAATGCTCTGAGCTCTTTGTGGAAAAGAGATGAGTTGACATTTTGACTGGTATCAAGTATTGGTGGAAAACATGTTTGATACCAGTTTCCTGATTGTAAATATATTATTACTGATATGTACCCAGCACATCATAGATCATTATATGTTACTCATAAGTTGTTCTGCAGTAATTTGGAATATATAAAATGTAAAACACAATTGAAGCATTTCATAGCAAGTTTAAATTTTCTCACTGAGATCAAAAAAGAAATCTGTATCGGTGCATCTCTTTTGAAGAAAGCCATTTGTGTCACTCTGAGCTGGTTTATTTATACAGCAGTATGTTCCCAAGACAAACACAGACACGTAATAATGACTTATAATTACAATCATATGCTGTATATTACTCAAGACACCAGGCAGGTTCATGGTCGACCACTCACAGAGAGACTTACAACAACACGATCGCTCTGAGCTGCTTTAACAGACAGAGAAAGACCGGGTTTGAACTCTTTTCCGGCTCCATCCTCTCCTGAGTTTTCTATCTGCCATGTGAAACTACAAACCTGTCAGAGCCAGGACTTCCTCCAATTCTACTTCCAAGGACAAATGGCAGAGAGGGGATCCCACAGCAGGGGAGCGCTTCCCCGCACTGGTCACACTTCCCATCAAAATCCCAACAGACCCAGTCCAAAGACCGGGTCATTGTCCCCTTCCCTGGCTCCGCCCTGAACCCACAGTGCTGGATTTTGCGAAGGGAAAGGTAACATATAGGTAACAAACATATATATCAATATAAATTCAATTGAAATAATGTCTAGTTTGTGGTTTTAATATGATAGAAATATGTATATTGTCCTTTTTTTTAAATATTGTAACAGTCCAATGTATCAATAAGCAATCTCTCGATACTGCAGCCCCAGGTGACTGTCTTTGATGAAGGGAATTAAAATATTTATTTGTTATGCTAATGTCAGGGGTTTTTAGAGACTACCCCAGTGTGCACCAGCATTAAGCTAGAGATTTTATACTGCTTCTTTTTAAGCTAGTCAGAGATTTTAGTTTAGTACAGAGTTATCATTCATATCATCAAAAAAGGATCTCTTCATGTTAAAAGCCTTTACTGTCGCTCATTTGTGGCTGAGAAACAAAAACAATACATCTCGGCGTACAGAGCAGTGGAGGCAGCGCTTCACGGTTGTCCAAGGTGTGAAATTCAAATCAGTCAGAAGCTCGAAGAGTCAACACTCCGAGGCTCTCTGGCAACTCAAGTTCAAACACCTCTATTCAAACATGTATTAAACGATTTTAAAAAGTCCTCAGGGTAAGCCAAACCCAGATACATATACAACATGTTAATAATAATAACAATACTAGGCTAACATAAGCATGAATAAACACATAATAGACACCTTGAACCAGGGGTCTCCAACCTTCTTCAATCAGAGAGCTACTTTCATGCACCAAAAGAGGCAGAGAGCTACTTCTTTTTGCAGTTGTGATGAAAAATCTATGTGACAATTACGACAAAACACAGAGAACACATAACTATACAATAATACTGTAAAACCCTAGATTATAACGTATAATAGATATGTAATGAATCAAAATCTATTCATTCAAGATCATTCTAATCTAAATCCTTTGGGGAGCTACCTGAAAGGGGCTGGCGAGCTACAGGTAGTTCCCGAGCCACAGGTTGGAGACCCCTAACAGGCTGAATGCTGCAGGGCATTTAGCATTTGTTTTAAGCTGTCAAACTCCAAAGCTGCGCAGACAAACAGAAGCAGCAAATAAAATAAAGTACCTACACCAGAAGTAGCTACGTATTTTTACTCAGATACTGCACTTGAGTATTTTCCCTGGTGTAAGTACTTATACATGGACTTATTAAGTATTTATTCTGACAGCTTTTACTCCTTACTCTTTTACCCCTGTCCTTTCTACTCCTTACTCCTATTCCTTCAAATGTCTGCAGATGGAAACACAACATACAAACATGATGAACGTGGTTAGCCCTGCTTCTAAGTGAACGAATGTGTTGTGATTATACCATTCTGTGTCAGTTCTACATGCTTTGACACAGTCTCTACCTCTACACAACTGCATAAAAGGTGAAAAGTATTATCAAAGGTACAGCATGAATTGTACCTTTACTCTGCTTTGTAATGCCTTGTGTGATTGTTTTCTATGTTGTTTTTTTCAGCACTTTGAGTTGCATTTTGTATGAGCTGTGCAATACAAATAAACTTGCCATGCCTTGCTTAAAAACACTCTTGAAGTGTGTTCTGTACTTTTCTTTCATATTATTAATTCTATGTCTTCTAAATGCCCAAATACACTCTTGAACACACTTTTTAAATGATATATTGTCTGCCAAACAACAGTATTCAAACAACATGCAAAGCTCGTACGTGTATTACATTTACTGGAGTGGGGAGTAGTAAAAGTACTTCCACCAGTAGTTGAAGGACCTATAGTACTGCAGACACCTCTTGCACGTCGCCATTGTCACAGTGAGAGATGCTCATGTGGTGTTAAATCTTTCTAGGAATATCACAGGGACATTGTGCAGTTTGGAGCAGGACGGGGAGGCTCGCAGGGCGCACAAAGCCGTCCAGTGTGTTGGCTGAACGGAAACTCCTAATGAGATTAGATGGTGTGTGCAGACATTACTTAGCCATGACTAAATCTGCTCTCTTCCTGTTCGCAGACGGTGGAAAATTCGGCACGTTGCAAAAAAAAAAGAGAAGAGAAAAGCAAAAAGCGTCCACAAACACAGGGTCCAGACGCGGATTGCAGCCATAATAGACTCCTCTCTTTGTGCACTTCGCTGCGCGTTTCCGGAGCAGAAGTTGCATTAAGTTTTGACGCACGCAAATGTGAATCACTGCTCTGCCCCACTGACTCATTCTCAAGATGTGGCTCGGACCGGAAGAGGCTTCAGCAGAGATCCACACAGAAAAGCACTTTATAAATGTACAGAAAACATACCGATGAGAATAGTCCAAGTGTTGAGAGTCTGCGGCGGCGGTGCGGCTGTAGTAACAGACAGTACTCTCCCACAGCGGTCACTTTGTAGCAGATCATCAAAGCCAAAAACACACAGCCCTCGCTAAAAACACTTCTGTACGTTACCTGCGCTCTCTCACTTGGTCCAGGCACAAGTCGAAACTTTACGGCGTCGCGGGAGAGAGTGCCTGTTTTTCCATGCTTACGGCCGGAGTAGAGTCTACACAGTTCTGCTGGACTGAAATAGGATCCTGTGCTTTTTCTTTTTCTGAGCAGGAAGTTGGAGCGCGCAGACACAGAGCCGGCTGACTTCCTCTCCCCGACGATTCCCCAGGCGGTTTGCCGTCTGTGTAAACACACTCTTCCTCCTCCTCCTCCTCCTCCTCCTCCTCCTCCTCCTCCTCCTCCCGCGGACGGCCGCTGCAGCCTCTGCACACGCTCAGCACACAGGCCTGGACCCTGACATCACCTCCTCCAGTCTGCGACTGTGCAGACTGTGCAGACTTCAGACTGTGCAGACTGTGCAGACTGTGCAGACTGTGCAGACTGTAGACTGTGCAGACTTCAGACTGTGCAGACTTCAGACTGTGCAGACTTCAGACTGTGCAGACTTCAGACTGTGCAGACTGTGCAGACTTCAGACTGTGCAGACTGTGCAGACTGTGCAGACTGTGCAGACTGTAGACTGTGCAGACTTCAGACTGTGCAGACTTCAGACTGTGCAGACTGTGTCTTGCAGTCAAAGCACTTTGCAGCCCACCAGCAGAGTGCAGTAGTTTGGTTTGATATTTGATGAGTTCATGAAGTGAGAGACAGTGTGGACTGGCCACAGGCCTGCGCTGGGACCGTGTGTACCTGCAGAATGACTGGAGAAGTTAATATTGAACAAGTTCCCTGACTATGTTTGAGTTACTGAAACAGGGAGAAGGGTCGCCTCTGAATCCGGTCACGTGACGCTTGTCCGAACATGAACCTGTGCAGGTCAGTGGTCTGCGGGGGCGTGGCCCAAACCGCGGCCTCTGATTGGTGGATCAGCTTTGCGCTCCTGATGGTACCGCGGAGGGCCGTGCGCTGGGCGCATTCTGCCGAACACAGTCGTCATGCCTCGGTACACGGTTCACGTACGGGACGAGTGGTTGGCCATTCCATGCCGGGACTCCAAGAACACGATCCAATGGCTCGGGATCGAGGCTCTCAGACGATACATCAAGAACAAACCCGACAATGGAGGCATCACGTCAGTGAAGGAGACGCGCTTTGTGGTGCGCCGGTGTCAGGGTTTAGGACTTCTGGACGCAGATGACACGATTGAAGATGTTCTGGAAAACAACGACTTTGTGGAGCTCGGTAATGATTTAAAACAAGGGTTTGATGAAGAACACTGTCTCAGATTTAGGATTTTAGAAGTGTGTGTTTGCGTACGCACTTGCGCCATGACCGTCCCTTGTTCTTGTTTCAGCGATAGAAGGAGACACCATGTCCCCAGACTTCATCCCATGTCAGGCTGGAGTCTCTCATATGTATCCTTCGACATGTTTAACTGTAACAAATAATAACAAATCTAGTGAATCTATCACATATTTATGCCATTATGGTTTAGAGCAGGTCATTGTCCCCTTCCCTGGCTCCACCCTGAACCCACTGTGCAGGAGTTTATAGATAATAATATAATAATAATAATATATATATATGTTACATAGATAATAACATATATTGATATGTATTCAATAATGAAATGACAGTACTTGGTTTACCCTGTTACATAGTAATGATGGTTTCAATATGATAGAAATATATTTATTGTCCACTTTTGTGACAGGCCTATGAACTTGTCCTCGTCCCCTGGCCCCGGTGCAGTTTCTAACAGGACTATCTTTGTTGATGGGATTTCAAATGTTTGTTGTTTGTTTATGGAAAGGCCTCACTGCCACTCATCCAGAAACAACTTGTGGCTGTTTCATTGAGTCATGATTTCATTGATGATCTATGGTTTGTGGGTGTTGTGTATCCTTAACCACATTCTCCACCACAGCACGGCCGCTTACAGAGAGCCTGATGAGGTGAGTGACTTCAGTTGTGATGAACTCATTACTAACTGTGACGTCATCGAGCCACTGATTGAATCACTTGTGTTTTCACAGTTCATTCTTCTGGATGGAAACAGCCTTTCATCAAATGATCTGGTCAACTTAGGCAGAGGCTTCTACAAGATAAAGGTAATGATAAGCAAATATAGGCTCAGTGTCCACAGAAACCACGTTAATCGTTGACTGTACCAATATTTTAGTTAACATCTGAGGCAGAGCGCAAAGTGGTGCAATCCAGAGAGCTTTTGGACACTATTGTCAAGGAAAACAGAGGTGAGTAGAAAAACAAATATATCTAAATCAAAGTGGATGATTTCTTTGACCTACTGCATTTCTGCTCCTCACAGTCGTCTATGGGATCACGACAGGATTTGGCAAATTCGCCCGTACTGTTATTCCTGTCAGCAAACTCAAGTAAGGATTATGAACATGATGCAAGAGTCTGTTTGTTTTCACACAAGAATCACTGACGACGTTTGTGTTTGACAGGGAGCTGCAGGAAAACCTGGTGCGCTCTCACTCTGCAGGTACAACATTATTCACAACAGAGCTGTCCCGGAACAGAGACGGTTGGACTCGTGTTGTGAAACGCTGTGTGTTGTTGTGTGTTTAGGAGTGGGGAACCCGCTGAGCCCTGAGAGGACCCGTATGCTGCTGGCTCTCAGGATCAATGTCCTGGCGAAAGGACACAGTGGCATCTCTTTAGAGACGCTGCACGCCATGATCCAGGCCTTCAATGGTAGGACAGAGATAAGATAAACTTTATTGATCTGGGCTTGTTCACAATAAAGGGTACAAAAGTGTGACAGCAGGCCAAAAATGAGGCTTTCATAATCAGAAGATATACTGTGTTTTTCATTTATTCAAGTGATAAGTTCTGTCCATCAGTAGTTGCTAGAACATAACTGTTTTATACATTATTAGTCAAGTTTCCTATTGTGGCTCTGTTTATTTATGTAGCGGACTTGAGTAGAAAACAAAGTGATTACTTTCATGAAGTAAAACAATTAAATGTGACATCAGAAAAATAAAATTAATACAAATAATAACAATAATTTTTAGAAACAAATTGACAAAACCCTTACGTCCGTTACACATTTTTCAAGGTACATTTAAATTTGTATTGATATTTTTCCGAAATGGTTCCTTCTTAATTGAAGTGATTATGTGGTGTTAGCCATGTTTACTTTGTCACCGATGACCTTTTATTTTTTATGTAACTAGCGTCACAGTAGAATTCATCAAACTTGATTTTATCCACAATATTGCTTTGATATGTCTGTGTTTAGAATATTTTCTCCAATCTATGATAGTCATTTTAGGTTTTGAGTTAAAACCTTTAAAGTCCAGATACTATGAAAAACACTTTACTGTGAACACACTCATCTCACAAAGGAGAAATGTACATGTCACATTTGGCACAGATAGAATCACTGCGGGTGTGCAGAAAGACAGGAAGTGTGCAAACATGTTAAAAAGGTTAAAGTGGTTTCTAATGAGCCAAACCTCACACTGACAGAGAATCAGGATCAGAAGGATTTTTATTGACAGTGTAAGTTACAAGAAGTCACAAACAAGGAATTTGCTCATGGTGCAAACAACACAAGTCAAAATAGTTATAAGGCATGCATAAAATAATCTTCGTAGAATTTTTTTAAATTAAGATCCTTTATTTGTCCCACAGTGGAGAAATGTCAGTGTTGCATCACCAGTTACAGAGCAGTTGGAATGAGGAGCACACAGATCAGGATAAATGAACTATAACTCTATACTTTAGCATAAAAAAGAAGCAAGTATAACATCTCTAACTTTAGAGTAATGCAGAAGCTAGAATAAAATTTAACAATTCTAACTTCAGCATATTGAAGAAGCAGGTACAAAATACTGTGTATGCTTCTCTAGTAGAACAAGAAATATATGTATGTATGTTTACCTCTGTACATACTGCTATATACAGTACACAGTGCACAGTAAGTCCAGTAAAAAGTAAAATAACTCTAACCCGCATTTCTCACCCTGCAGCATCGTGTCTGTCCTTCGTCCCAGAGAAGGGGACAGTGGGCGCCAGTGGAGACCTGGCCCCTCTGTCTCACCTCGCTCTGGGGCTGATGGGAGAGGGGAGGATGTGGTCGCCAAAAAGCGGTTGGGCAGACGCCAAATTTGTACGTTATTTTATTATCTTTAATTCAAAATATTTGGTTTGCAGGAAGTGTGTCTTTTGTTTGAGAGTGAATGGTTACTGTTGCAGTAGCTAAACATGTTTGCCTTTTGATGACCCCTGACCTTTCACGAGATAGATCCTCTTTCATCTCTGAACAGGTCTTGGAGGCCCATGGACTTAAGCCAATATCCCTGAAGCCCAAAGAGGTAATGTGCCAAAACATCAACACAAACCAACACGCTTGTAATTCAGGTATTTCAATCTGGAGAGACTCGAACAGACAAAGTAAGTAAGTAAGTAATGTTTATTTTTATAGCGCAATTTATAGACCAAGGTCGCCCAATGCGCTTTACAATGTTCTGAGTTCAGGTATTGTTGCAATCACTCCACAGTCCACACGGTGATGACATTATATTCATATCTATTATAGTGCAAGTTTTTAGTGGTAGGGGAAACCGGAGCACCTGGAGGAAACCTACGCAGACCCGAGGAAAACATGTAAACTCCACTCAGAAAGGCCCTGTTCTGACCGGGATTCATACCCAGGACCTTCTTGCTGAGAAGTGAGAGTGCTCTTCATTCAGCCACCGTGCCGCCCAACAAAACATAATATTAAGATAATAAGTCGATAAAATAAAGTGGAGATTCTGAAATTGCAGTATTTACTATTAACAGATGAGATTACACGTACAGGCTGCGTAGTACTCATTGTACAGTCTGACAAAATATTTTGTTAAATCCATAAGCGAGACGTCGATATAGTAACTTATGAGATGTAACTTACCTCGGGGAGTAGAGCCATCAGTCGCTCTGGGATTCGAGAAGGTCCTGGGTTTCGAATCCCGGAACATGGCCTTTCTGTTCTCCCCGTGTCATTGTCGTTTTTCCTCCAGGTGCTCCGGTTTCCCATACGACTAAAAACATGTACAGTAGGTCTGAATGTAGTGAGTGAGTGAATGGAGGGTGTTGATTTGGGGATTTGATGTGCCAGTGTGTTCGGCGTCTCGCTTCTGTCATCACTGTGTGGAGAAAAATAGAACAATATCTGAACTCTGAACATTGTGAAGCGTTTTGGGGGTCTGTAAAAATGCGCCAAATAAATAATGATTACTTACTTACTTACTTACTCACACTTTTTCGCCTGATCTCCATAACACAAACTCACACCATAACTACACCATCCTCTGTTCACACTGTTTTTAAAGGTATATTTAATTTATTTATTTATTCAGACGGCGAACAACTAAAGTAAAGGAAAAATTAAGTACATAAAACAAACAACCAACATTTACTACTTACAGTACTAGGTATATAGGAGGATTTTCTACTTCCGGCTGGATCATCAAGACTGTTGATCGTTCCAGTTGTCAATCATCCTGGTGATACGTGCTCGTCAAATAAGACAACAGAATTTTGTTCAAAAAGTGGAGAGAGGGCGGTTCTTTCCTAAAATGTGGGAAAATCCTCCTATATACAGTACCTTTAACATTGCATTTTGACTGTATTCTTGAAATGTACTTTTTACTTGTTATGTAAGGCGAACCTTGAGTATGTCGAGAGCCTAAGACATGAAATATATTATTATTATTATCATTACTATTATTATTATTGCCTGTCCTCCACTCCAGGGTCTTGCTCTGATCAATGGGACACAGATGATCACCTCTCTGGGGGCGGAGGCGGTGGAGCGAGCCCAGGCCATCGCCCAGCAGGCAGACATCGTGGCCGCTCTCACTCTGGAGGTTCTCAAAGGCACCACCAAGGCTTTCGACAGCGGTAAGAACGAAAGACAAGATTCTGGAAACTCGATCTTGCAAGTGAAGTTCATGTTTGATCTCCTTTGTGTAGACATCCACGCTCTGAGGCCGCATCCGGGTCAGATAGAAGTGGCCTCGCGTTTCCGATCGCTGCTAGACTCCGACCACCATCCGTCTGAAATAGCAGGTATTTCATCGAGATTTATGGAAAAAAAACAACAACAAAATATAGGTTTAAATATAAGGTACCTAACCTAAAACATGGCAACCCAATTATGTAAAAAAATCCATCACTGAAGTCCTCCCTCTCAAAACAGTTTGGCTCGATCTCTCGTTTTCACATGTACAGAAGAATTTACATAGACATACATTGAATCATGGATACAATGTAGGCCTTAAAGCTGGGGTACTGAACCTTGTTTTTTCTTTGAATATGTTGTTTATCCGACAGAATGAGTCTAATTATAGTAAAATGTAATGAACAAATCAGACCACAACATTCTGTCTTCATCTTATTGAAAAATTCTATTTCAATGCAATTCAGTGTATTCTTGTACAGCCCTAAATCACAACAGCAGTTATCTCAGAGGACTTTACCCAACCGTGGAATTTGCCAACACAGATTAGAAAATCAAACAGTTCAAACACAGAAAACACCTTGATATTGGTCCATAAGAGGCAGATGAACAATGTCCATAAATGTCGAGTGTCCTGGATCATCACCACTGTCCTTATGGCTGTAGATCCAGGACATAAAAAAGAGTCCTCTGAATCACTATTTGACTCTTTTGGCTGAGAGCTGATTGACCAAAAATACATGCATGTGAAAACTAGTGAGAGAACCAAGTTGTTTTGAGAGGGGGGGAGTAATTACACGCATTATATTACATAGCTCTAGATTTTGTGGATTGAAAGTTACATACCCCAGCTTTAAAGACCTTATGACGGGTTTGATTTATTTATAAATACAGTTTTAATACCATTTTATATTAGAGAACTACTAAAGGTTTCAAAATCAGTTGTTGTTTTTTTTGTCTGATCCCCCAAATCAAAATAACCCCATAGCAACGCCCTTAGAAACGAAAAAACTTCACAGCCCTTGGTGACGTCAGAGTGGGTACGTTTCAACGCTGTAAGTTGTTTACAATTTGGTATTCGTTCTTTTTTCGCGGATATTCAAGATGACAAGGCCGTGTACAGCGAGTCTAAGATAACTACTAGAATGTATCATTTCGTTGTCACTGAGATAGTCCAGTGGTTGTGTCGATGAACTGCCAATCCAGATACTTGGGCTCAAATCCCACCTCAGACACTTTTTCACACTCAAAACGGCAATTTATGTGTAGTGAGCAATTGTCACCTGTAGAGGGCAGTATTGTGTTGGGCATCAGTGGAGAGAAGAGAGAAAAGGCAGTCCTGTGGCATAGATCCATGGTTTTCAATGCACCCGCTGTGACGTCACACACATGTTAGAGCATAGACAACTTAAAATCATGAAAAACACGTTCTTTTTATAAAATGTAGGATTTTTTTTGCCGGAATCTCTTTCAAATTGACATTGTCATGCAATTTTGATATCCACTATTTTTTTTTTTAAAACCCGTCATAAGGTCTTTAAGTTTTACTCATTGACTGCCATTGACGTATTTGTCTGAGACTGGTGATTTCTGTCAAACTTCCCACTTTTCGACGTCAGATTACAGGAAAACAAAACTAGCTAGAAACCAACATATTTTTGCTGAAGAAAGTAGACATTCCAATCTTCCTGGTTTCATATTTAACAGTCATAGGACACAACATTCTGTGGGTCTTGAAAGTCAGCGAAATCATCAAAAATGGCTGGCAGTCAATTTCGCCGCTAACACACGTACATTACCTTTTCAGAGAGCCATCGTTTCTGTGACCACGTGCAGGACGCCTACACCATGCGATGCTGTCCTCAGGTTTTTGTCAAATTTGTGTGAATAAACTGTTTATTTCACACAAATTTCAAAATCCCAATATTCTGGTTTTTTTGCAGGTCCATGGAGTGGTCAACGACACAATCAATTTTGCCAAAAACATAATCAATACAGAAATCAACAGTGCCACAGACAACCCTGTATCCTTTCAAAGAAACCTCGATCCAAATTTCTCTGCACCATCTTCACTCCTGTGCTTAGTATTTTAACTTAACACATGCTTTAGATGGTGTTCGCTGAAAGAGGTGAAACCATTTCTGGAGGGAACTTTCATGGAGAATATCCAGCTAAGGTGCTGCTTGTACTTGCTTAAAATGTACTTTCTTGACTATAAGGCGCACCTGTATATAAGCCGCACCACCTGAATTTGAAAAGAAAATACATTTTGTTCACATATAGGCCGCACTTGAGTATAAGCCGCAGGTTTTCATGTTGTAATGTAGCAGATAGACGACTGTTGGTCACAACATGATTTAATAATAGGTTGTATTGCCGTTAGCTTCCATGACTCATTCACCTGCATCTATTGTCCTTCATTTTGTAAGTTGTAAGTTTGTAATAAAGGATCTCTTCATCTTTACATTAATCTTAAAATAACTCTTGCTGTTTTGTCCTTAAGGCGCTGGACTTCCTGGCCATCGCGGTGCACGAGCTGGCCTCCATCAGTGAGAGGAGGACCGAGAGACTGTGTAATCCGTCTCTGAGCGAGCTGCCGGCGTTCCTCGTCAACGAAGGAGGACTCAACTCTGGGTTCATGATCGCTCACTGCACTGCGGCCGCGTTAGGTGAGCAACCATCAACCATGAGTTTATGACAAGACTAGTGTTGAAGCTCGAATAATCATGTCAGAACACTAGATTATATATATTCTTTTAACAATAAAGACACATTTTCTTTTTCACATATGGCTTTGAATAGATTTCTGTGTCTTGTATCTTTGGTCAACTTTAGACCAGATTAAGTCTCAGAAAACTGATAATTTTTTTTATTTTAACACACTGAAATGCAAATAGTTTACTGTAAATAACTGCCAGCTCCTTACAGTTATTTATACAGCATCGTATACTGTAAACTAGAAAAAAAAACTGTATATTCATGTAATTCTAGGAGTGAAGTGTAACATTTTATTTAAACAAAACAAAACAAAAACAATATCAATGTTAAAATCAATGCTGCTACTTTAAAAGGGATGAATAAAAGTCCTCATGACAAGAGTTAGAAGAGTGGTCACTGAGAAGTCTCCCACGGCAACGATAGATCAACACTGGGGGAGATAAAAGCTGCTTCTGAAGGAACATTTCTGTAAAAGTGTATTGGTTAAATGTAATAAAGAACATGTTTTAGAGATTTATAACCTACCATTAAAACACGAGAGCTTCACTTGCAGATATTGCAGATGGGAACATCCAAGTAGAAATTGAATTAAGAATAAGTAGAGAACACTTTTGCTGCTGCTGGATTTTAGAGTTTTATGATGTAATGAACTGGTGAATTACCTCCACGTACAGTACATGCAACGGTTGTTTAAACTTCCTGGATGGACAAGAGGAGGAAAACATTTTAAAAACAGAAATCCATGTCTATTGTTCCTGGCTGTAGAACAGATCTATCACTCGTTTTCACATGCATGCATTTATAACCTCTGTCACATCTTTGGATCAGATTTTTCAGACAGAAAAGTGAAAAAGAGAGGACCACCCTTACTCAGCCAATCCGCTCTCAGCCAATCAGCTCTCAGCCAATCAGCTCTCAGCCAATCAGCTCTCAGCCAATCAGCTCTCACTCACAGCGCCACTGTTTGACTCATGTTGTGGGATTACTGAAATTCCCAATACAATAATATTATGCTAGTTAACAGTTAGTCTGCTTCTGTCCACCATAATCCCCTTCAACATTTGATAGAAAGACATTGTTAACACTGGTGTGCTGTAATTTAAAACACCAACATGCTGGTTCAAGTTTGAAGGCCCACAATGCATTACTAACTATAGAACTGAACTGTTTAATACAACAACAAAAAACAATATTTTAGTGTTGAAAACTGGCTGCAACAATTTCTTACTGTGCAAATGTTTTCTACCCTTAGTGTTTTAGTTTTAATATTGGTTCCCAGTGTGCACTACTCTCTGGGATTGAAGTTTTGGATTTGAATAAAAAAAGCAATCAGTATTTTGTTTTACATTTGTCGTCCTTCTTTGTTCAGTTTCAGAAAATAAGGTTTTGTGTCACCCTTCGTCTGTGGATTCTTTGTCGACGAGCGCAGCCACGGAGGACCACGTGTCGATGGGAGGGTGGGCCGCCAGGAAGGCCCTCCGAGTCATCGAACACGTGGAGCAAGGTACTCTGTGCTAATGTCTGTCGCATATAAGTCACTGAAACTGTTATGTCACACAACGGTTTGAACTCTTTCACTAAATGTGCGATAAATCTGTATCATGTCAGAGTTTCATTTACTTTACGTTTTCCCAATACACTTTTTGAGAGTTGAAGTGACTCACATTTGCCCAGTTATCTTCAGAGGGGCCTCGCTTCTGTCAGTGTGCCCCAGGGCAGATGTGCCTTTAGTGATAGTTTATCTCCACTGTGTACGAGTGAAGCATTTTTAAGTGTCACAATACATATAATGTTATCATTTATTTTACATAAAACATGTAAAAAGTGGTCTTTTGTTGTTTTCTGTCTGTTGTCAAAATAATTCTAAAACTTATGAGTGGATAAATAAATGATATAATTAAGAAACCTCATAAATGGGACAGGGAACAAAAGACTTATTTTGGAGGTGATGTCAATCCTCAAGTAATGGATGGGTGCTTTTTTAGTTTATAATATTCTGAAGGTAATCGATATGTGCAGATTCAGATTGATATATACATATATATATTTATATAATACAATATTTATGAAAACAATTATCATTGTTGTATTACCTATAGTACAATAGTGTGTAGGCGTATTGAAGATAGATCCCATGTTGTCCTTGTTCTAACTGGTTGTGTTTCCTCAGTTCTGGCCATCGAGCTGCTGGCGGCCTGTCAGGGCATCGAGTTCCTGCGGCCGCTGCGCACCACCACGCCGCTGGAGAAGGTCTATGACCTTGTGCGCAGCGTGGTCAAGTAAGTCAAACATATGTGTTCAAGGTTCACTATTTCTCTCTTTCAAATAAAGTGCAAATGGGTTAATGTTTATCCACTGCTCGCTCTCTTGGTCCTGACAGGCCCTGGATCAAAGACAGATTCATGTCTCCAGACATCGAGGCTGTGCACAGACTCCTCATCGACCAAAAGGCAAGTAAAGAGTAGAGACTGAAACTGTCAGGATGTGTGAATGGGTAAAAAGTTTAGAAATGGGTTTAGGAATATATAATCAGAATCAGAATATTTTTTATTGCCACGTAAGTAACAGGAAGTCACAGACTTGGAAATTGCTTTGGCACAGTGCAACAGTCAAAGACGAAAGGTAGAGAATAGAGTAAGGCATCATAAGAATAATAGAAATAAAAATAGCAGACACCCCCACGGTAAAAAAGGTATAAATTGTCACTTTTGTTTTGCATGTATTGTTTTTGGGGCCCCGGCTATAAGCTAATGTAGCTTCTTGGGAGTCCCTTTTACAAAACACTTACAAACCTTACAAATAGAATGTGCATGACTATGAAGTTTTGTAAATAAAGATCACTGATTTGAAATGAACTATGAGGAAATGCTGCCTGAAACAAATCCAATGTTTTCATCTGTGGAATTGTAAAATAAGTGATCTTTAAATCTGATTTGGATACACAACAAAAAACACATTAACTAATGAAGTATTAATCACATCATTTATTTCAGTTCAGCAGTTCTAGTTACACCGAGTAATGATCTTACCGTTGTTAATTCCTTATGTTTGATTTCTTTCAGGTTTGGCAGGTGGCTAAACCGTACATTGACAAGTATGCGACAGAGTTCATCCCTGAGTCTCGTCCCGTCAGCCCCACAGCCTTCTCTCTGGAGCCTCCAACATCTCCACGAAAACGAGTTCGCCTCGAGTGAAGTCTCAGGGATTTGAGATTTAAAAATTGTGTCTGTTGATGTAAATGCAAATATAAAAGCTGCATAGAGCTGCACGCAATGATTTACCTATAACCTTTAATATTTCACCTTATATTTATCTGAATTTTTGATTAGTTAAGTATTGATGTCGCACGACTACCTCAGTCATTGTTTATACTAAATGAATGATCCACAATAAATAGTAAATGGCAAACTTGTTTTTTTTTTTTTTTTTTAAATAATAGCAATCTTATTGAGTAATGAAATCAATCTTACATCCAAAATGGCAATAAAGGTTTGTTTTTACCTCTTTACTGGAACTGGTCTGGACATGTTTAGGATACACTATTGTTTTGTTTATTACAGGGCAACGTGATGAGCTATTTATTTATTTTTTTACTAGAAAATAAACGCACAAAACATAAAATGTGTACATTCAAACAAAGAAGAAGTCAAAGACATAATGAATACACTCCATGCACTGTGCTGTGTTACGGGAAAAAATACGGACACTGAGTAGCAACAAAAAAAAAGAGTCTCCTTCGAGCCGGATTTGAACCAGCGACCTAAGGATTTCAGCTCTGGGCTTGTTCACTACAGTCCTCCGCTCTACCAACTGAGCTATCGAAGGGACGATGAGTAAAGAGGCAGATTTGTTGTATATAAACATAGATAACATGATCTTGTAAAGCTACACAGCAGAAGAACGCGCTGATTCACTGCTGAATGATCACAACGCAAACAAACCATGAAACAAACAGACCTGACTCTTTAAGTTCAGCAGAATTCAGAGTTTTCTGGGCTATCTGTGGATTTATTTAAAGGTTTCAATACAGATTGAGATTTTAGATTACACAGTCTTCCACTAATTATGATGTGTATGGTTTACTTACGAACAAAAACTTGTTTTCTGTGGTTTTTATTATTTTTTCAAAATTGTTTGTATCTTACGCCATTTTATTTCCAAATATGAAAATATCGCCGGTGACCACGAGAGGGCAGTGTTCTCCTATTTTTCCAGTCTTTTGTCGATGTGCGTTCGATTTCGTGGGTCTGTTAAACTTCTATCATTTAATGATTGCATGCAAACATAAAGACGATTGAGGAAAATTCTTATTACGCCTCTCACTATATATCTAATCCAAGAAGTTTAGCAGGGTGAGACCTGGTTAGTACTGTGATGTGTGATGGGAGACCTCAGTGAACATCAGTGCCACTGCAGGGTGGCTTTTAAAGTGCCAAATGTTGTTGTGTCCTCAGGGAAGACACTTCAATGAGTACGTGACTCTGGCAGGTGCTGAATTATGCTTATTTCTCTGAATCTGCCCAGGGCAGCTGTGGCTATAATAGTAGTTTGCCATCACTATGTGTACGGATTGACCTAATGTGTTATTATAGTTGATTGACTGCGGAACCTTCCGCAGTCAACCATTGGTTTTGTATTTCTTTATTCCGTCATTTTTTTTGACACGTTTCACAGCTTTCACATTTTCAACAATTTCCACAAGTTATACATCAAAACGTTCCACATGTTTGGGAGATTATTGCTATTACTTTTGGGACTTCAGCGATTTCCGGTTTTTCCGCAATCGGACAAAAATCTGCATTGAGAATTCTGCAATGCATTTTAATAGGCCCATGCATTTTAATAGGACTTCAGCTCTTTCAGACATTTCTACAGTTTCAATGATTCAACAGTTTCAAGGATTCAACAGTTTCAAGGATTTCAGCAGTTTCAAGATTTCAAGAGTTTCAAGGACTTCAACAGTTTCAAGGGACTTCAGCAGTTTCAAGGACTTCAGCAGTTTCAAGGACTTCAGCAGTTTCAAGGACTTCAGCAGTTTCAAGGACTTCAGCAGTTTCAAGGACTTCAGTGTAATCATGCAACCTAATAGGGATTTTTCCATGTAAACCAGTATAATGCAACTTAATAGGTTTTTTTCATGTAAACCAGTAATAATGCAACTTAATAGGGATTTTTTTCATGTAAACCAGTATAATGCAACTTAATAGGGGTTTTTACTTGTAAACCCGTATATTGCAACTTAAATAGGGTTTTTTCCATGTAAATCCAGTATAATGCAACTTAATAGGGTTTTTTCCATGTAAACCAGTACAATGCAACTTAATAGGGATTTTTCATACCATCGAGACTAAACCAGTATAATGCAACTTAATAGGGTTTTTCCATGTAAACCAGTATAATGCAACTTAATGGGGATTTTTTCCATGTAAACCAGTATAATGCAACTTAATAGGGATTTTTCCATGTAAACCAGTATAATGCAACTTAATAGGGATTTTTCCATGTAAACCAGTATAATGCAACTTAATGGGGATTTTTCCATGTAAACCAGTATATATGCAACTTAATATGGATTTTTCCATGTAAACCAGTATAATGCAACTTAATAGGGATTTTTTTTACATGTAAACCAGTATATAGTGCAACTTAATAGGGGTTTTTCCATGTAAACCAGTATAATGCAACTTAATAGGGTTTTTCCATGTAAACCAGAATATATGCAACTATAATTTTTCCATGTAAACCACTATAATGTAACCTAATAGGGATTTTTCCATGTAAACCATATAATGCAACTTAATAGGGATTTTCCCATGTAAACCAGTATAATGCAACTTAATAGTTTTTCCATGTAAGCCAGTATAATGCAACTTCATAGTATGTAAACCAGTATAATGCAACTTAATAGGGTTTTTTCCATGTAAAGCGCAGTATATTGCAACTTAATAGGGTTTTTTCCATGTAAACCAGTATAATGCAACTTAATAGGAGATTTTTCCATGTAAACCAGTATAATGCAACTTAATAGGGGTTTTTACATGTAAACCAGTATAATGCAACTTAATAGGGGTTTTTCCATGTAAACCAGTATAATGCAACTTAATAGGGTTTTTTTCATGTAAACCAGTATAATGCAACTTAATGGGGATTTTTCCATGTAAACCCAGTATTTATGCAACTTAATAGGGATTTTTCCATGTAAACCAGTATAATGCAACTTAATAGGGTTTTTTCATGTTAACCAGTATAATGCAACTTAATAGGGTTTTTTTCATGTAAACCAGTATAATGCAACTTAATAGGGTTTTTTCATGTATAATGCAACCTAATAGGTTGCATTATACCACCAGACCAAGACCCAAACGAAGACTCAGACCACCACCAGATAATGACCACAGACCAGGTTTCCTTAGTTTACAGGAACCAAATTGTTTCAGCGGTGAGGGGATTTTTCAGTTTCAAGGACACTTTCAATACATTCAGTAGTTTCAAGGATTTCAGCTGTTTAAGAATTTAACCAGTTTCAAGGATATCAGGAGGTTCAAGGATTTCAGGAGTTTCCACACTTTCAACAGTTTCCAGGTTTAAAAAAGTTTCAAGGATTTCAGGAGTTTCAATGTTTCAACAGTTCAAGGATTTCAGGAGTTTAAAGGTTTCAACAATTTCAAGGACTTCAGGAGTTTCAAATATCTATCAAGTATTTTAACAGTTTCAAGGCTTTTTAAAGGATTTCAAGGATTTTTTTTAGCAGATTTCCACATTAGTTCTCCCAGTCAATCGCATCTTCAGTTCCGCAAGTCAAATTGTAAACAGTCGCAATGTGTTTTTAGTTCTTCAGCCATTGCAAGTTTCTAGTGCGCGTTATTAATGACTGTCTATGAGCGGTCATAGCTCCAAATGCTCCAATGTTTTTTCAATTGATTGACTGCGGAACCTTCCGCAGTCAACCATTGGTTTTGTATTTCTTTATTCCGTCATTTTTTTTGACACGTTTCACAGCTTTCACATTTTCAACAATTTCCACAAGTTATACATCAAAACGTTCCACATGTTTGGGAGATTATTGCTATTACTTTTGGGACTTCAGCGATTTCCGGTTTTTCCGCAATCGGACAAAAATCTGCATTGAGAATTCTGCAATGCATTTTAATAGGCCCATGCATTTTAATAGGACTTCAGCTCTTTCAGACATTTCTACAGTTTCAATGATTCAACAGTTTCAAGGATTCAACAGTTTCAAGGATTTCAGCAGTTTCAAGATTTCAAGAGTTTCAAGGACTTCAACAGTTTCAAGGACTTCAGCAGTTTCAAGGACTTCAGCAGTTTCAAGGACTTCAGCAGTTTCAAGGACTTCAGTGTAATCATGCAACCTAATAGGGATTTTTCCATGTAAACCAGTATAATGCAACTTAATAGGGATTTTTCCATGTAAACCAGTATAATGCAACTTAATAGGGTTTTTTCATGTAAACCAGTATAATGCAACTTAATAGGGGTTTTTTCCATGTAAACCAGTATAATGCAACTTAATAGGGGTTTTCTACATGTAAACCAGGTATAATGCAACTTAATAGGGTTTTTTCCATGTAAACCAGTATAATGCAACTTAATAGGGTTTTTTCCATGTAAACCAGTACAATGCAACTTAATAGGATTTTTCCATGTAAACCAGTATAATGACAACTTAATGGGGATTTTTCCATGTAAACCAGTATAATGCAACTTAATGGGGATTTTTCCATGTAAACCAGTATTATGCAACTTAATAGGATTTTCCATGTAAACCAGTATAATGCAACTTAATAGGATTTTTCCATGTAAACCAGTATAATGCAACTTAATGGGGATTTTTCCATGTAAACCAGTATTATGCAACTTAATAGGGGTTTTTACATGTAAACCAGTATAATGGAACTTAATAGGGGTTTTTACATGTAAACCAGTATAATGCAACTTAATAGGGATTTTTACATGTAAACCAGTATAATGCAACTTAATAGGGATTTTTCCATGTAAACCAGTATAATGCAACTTAATAGGGTTTTTTACATGTAAACCAGTATAATGCAACTTAATAGGGATTTTTCCATGTAAACCAGTATAATGCAACTTAATAGGGTTTTTTACATGTAAACCAGTATAATGCAACTTAATAGGGGTTTTTACATGTAAACCAGTATAATGGAACTTAATA